TTTGAAAAAGATAATCTTAGAAACTGATAGCTGGAAAGCATGTTTGAATTCAAACCTAAATGGGGGCTGGGTGGAAAAGGTGAAAGAATTAAGCAAACAAAACAAAACAAATTTATAAACACAGACAACAATAAAGTAATTACCAGAGGAAAATGGGGGTGGGGGAAGGTAGAAGAGAGTAAAGGAAGAATAAATGGTGACCGAAAGGGACTTGACTTGGAATAATGAACACAAAATACAACACACAGATGATGGATTATAGAATTGTACATCTGAAACCTATATAATTTATTAACCAGTGTTTCCCCAATAAGTTCAATTTTAAAAAAGGAAAAGAAGAGAGAAAACCAGTAGAACAAAAACGTCGTTAAAGCTGGTCGCCTCAAAAAAAAAAAAAAAGGTTGCCAGAGAGGCAGGACTGTTGGGGGCAGAGGGGAGGAGCGAGGCACTTATTTTTCTTCATAAACCTTTCGCTACAATCTGATTCTGTTAGGAAAATAAAACAAACCGTGTTCCTGCTCTATCTTTATTTAAAAACAAAACAAAACATGTGTAATGTAGTTAAAAACAAAGAAAATGATTTACACTATAAAGGTATCCCCTTTAAAATTTAGGGGTGTGAAACGTACGCTCGAGGCCCTTCTGGCCAGCCCCCTCGAGGTCCGCGCGCCCCTGCGGCCTGGAAGCAACCAGCGCTCCGCGGCGCCCCGGGGAGGGGCCAGCCCAGCGGGGCTCGCGCGCGCGCGGCGGTGGCAGAGTGCGCAGGCGCGAAGCCGAGTATTTCTTCCCCTTCCCGGAAATCCCCCGGGAGTTCTGAATGGACCACGAGACGCGGAGGGTCCGCAGCTTGTCTGAGAAAGAAGGCAGGAAGAGCCAGGATACGGCTCTGAAGGTGCCAACAGCGGGGGCCACCGCCCCTCGCAGCTTGAGGAGACCACTTACTACCCGGCTTTACACTTGCGGATGAGCACAGTGAAGGCTGAAGGGGGCGGCAAGCGCGCGCGCCCCGTGGCAATCACGGCTGCACACCTTGAGGACCTGGAAAAGAAGGGCTGGGCCGTCTTCTGCCAATGACGACTGGTGGAAAATTTCCGTCGGGAACGGGAGGGTACGTTGAGTTCTCCAAGCGTCAATTAATCCGAAGGTATTTGAAGTTAATACACCGTTGAATGAAGTGCCTGGACCCAAAGGAGGCCATCCGGGACGCCTGGTGGCTTGTTTGGCTTTCAAAGTTAGTAAAGAAAAAAGCAAACCAGATGTTCTCTAAATCATTTGATTTAGCAGCATTTTTTTTTTTAACTTCTCTATGAACGTCTCTCATCTGATGGTGATCCTTGGAATAATACAGAATAGACGTGTAAACTCCTTCAAGAGATCTTCAACATTACACCAAATCTTGTGTTCCTTCAAGGCAGAGGCTCCTCTGCTAAAGCCTAGACCTAAACCTTAGGGGAGAAAAATAATTTAAAGTTGAAGAAGAGTAGATCAGTGACTGCATAGTTGGAAAATGTGGAAGGGAATGATCAAGAAGGGAATTGATCAAGAAAATGAAGTGCGGAGAATCTTAGAAGTGTTGTGAAATTAGTCTTGAGACACTGCTAAAACATACCTTTTTTTCCTTAATGATTTATAGATTCTTTTTCTCAGACTGGGGAAAATATTTTTCATATGTTCTTAAGTATAAGAGATGGTTTAGCAAGAATGAAGCTTGACCAAAATAAATCACCAATAATAGAGCCTCTGACTATGAAGAAACTAAATAAAGTGACCAGAGTCCCCAAGTTCAGAAACAAGGTGTTAATAGTTAACAGTTTTCAGTACTGGAAGGAATGTGCAAAATTTGTAAATGTCAAATGCTGTGGTTTCTTCATGTTGAAGTAAAGAGTGGGTTATTGAGAGTTTATAAAGATGTCAGTCTTTTCAGGGAAACAAAAATTCACTGGCATATTCGTAAAAGGGGGAAGAGGAAAGAAAGATGGCCTAATTTTCATTTTACAGATGAGGAAACTGACTCAGAAAGGGAAATGACTCTCAAGGATCACAGTGAATCGGACCTGGGGGGTGGAGCCTAGCCATGCTCCCTGGCACGGTGCCTCTTCTTATTCTGGGAGCTCGTACCCCATTGTAAAAGGGATGATGTAAGTGAGGCATCAGATGATATTCATAAATCTAGTCGTCATACTGAAGTACTGGCAAGGGATAAGAGGATTGGTTTTTTTGGATCTTAGAGAGGATTTTAAGAACATCTTTGTGATCTGAGCTCCCATTGTGATACAAATTCCTTTGGGAGATAAAATGGGTGAAATCTTTTTTAGGGAGTTTAAGCAGGATACAGGTAATCACTTATTAAGGTTATCAAGGGGATTCAAATCACTGGAATCTTTTCCAGCCTGATTCTTTGGTTACTAACTGCCTTTCAGGGCATACGTGGCCAGAAAGTATAGGGAAGAAGGAAATATCCTGCCTCAGTGTCAACTTTGAGTCAGGTATTCTGTTATGCATTTCATAGATGTTAGTACACTTAATCTGCACTACAAGCTTTCTTGATAGGTATTATATATACTCAGTCTACCGCAGCAGTTCATACAGATTAGGTAACATGCTCCAAGCCATGCAAAAAATAGGTGGCACAACTAACACTGTATGACACCATCTCTCATCTTCAGATAAGTGGGCAGAAGAGGATTACACATTTGTTCCCCATCCTCTCCCCAGTGTAAGTAACCCTCTGCACTGCTCAGTGAGTCTTCAGAGCAAGTAACTCCCATTATCCCCCTGGCCTAGTAGCTAGGAATGAGGCTGCAGTGGAGGCAGGGATACTCCTACTAGGAGAAAGGCATTTAGGCTGGCACCTCTTCACAAAGGCTCCAGAGTTGCAAGCTTTGCATAACAGACAGATTCTCATTGAACTATGAAGCCAAGCTTCTTCCAAAATTCTCGGTTTAATAGAACTGTGTCTGGAAGAAGAGACACAGGATTCAGCTTTGAGACAAGCTTAGACCCTGATGATAGGAACTGGTTTAGGAAGAAAGAAGCTGGAACAAAGGGATCTAGGGAGTCAGACAACATCTGGAGCTCAACTAGTTTATGATGCTGAAAGTCAGCAAGATCATTTTCTAAATACTTTCTAAAAGCAGTTTCTAATTTACAGCAAAATTGAAAGGAAGGTATAGTGAGATGTCCCACACAAAGCAAGATCATTTGATGTTCTTGGGTGAATGGCCATTTCCATCAGGATCCAACCAATTTTGGTGCCTCAGGGAGTGTAAGTCAGCATCCCCTTGAGAAAGGGGGTATGTGTTAAAGGCAAACTTCAGAGATGTCATCCTATCCCTGCCTTTTTAAAGATGAACGCTCTTCCTGTCCTGCTGTTACCACTCAGATTAAACATGTTCCCCATGTTCATACTGCATCCATGACTACATTTCTGCATCCTGAAAAGTTGTGGCCATGAAGATGAAAAACACCCATCAGCTGCAGCCTGCCTGACACATGGCAGTCACCTGCCTACTCTGGTATCTTCCATGGCTGCCAGTTAGCCACAGAATTAAGTACCAACTACCCAGCCTTCACAGTCTGGTTTCTTTCTGGCCTCTTTACTCATTCCCTACAGCCCATACTGCATCACCCCTTCTGGTCACCTCAGATTCCTTCTTCCTTGACTAGGTTCCACCCTTCCCTGCTTCCAATCCTCTGCAAGGTTTCATCTTCTGGAATTCTCCCCCTGTCCCCCCACCCACATACCCCACCAATTCAAATCTTCATCTTCCAAGTACAGCCTCAGTGATTCAAGATCATAAAGCAAAACTGACTTTAGCAAACTCCACTCCAAGACAACCAGGGACCAAAGCATTTGGATAATGGGGATATACAGGGTGGCTTTACGTTCACTTCTAGCTCAGAGGTCTCCCAGGGAATTAGGACCTCTGCAGAGATCTGCGGAACCAACCTGCTTCCCTGAAGTGCAGCCTTCATTCTGCCAGAACTAGCACTACCCCTTTGGAGAAACGGGACAGCACCGGCTGAGTCATACAGGCTGCTGGGGCCAGCGAGGGGCAGAGCTGTGTTTCTCGGCATTTCTCCCACTTTCCCTTGTGCAGACCTGTGTGGCTGTGCTGGGATTCTGACCTATCTCTGCTCCACAGTGAGATTCTTCAATTTGCTCAGGATTTATTCACTCCAATGTTCCTCTCACCTGAGCCCCATTCTTCCCCCGACCCATGATCACAGTATCAAAACAATCCTTCAGTGGGATTGCTGTGTTTGAATTTAACACCTCCTGCTGGGCCTCTTACCCTCTGCACGCCTTCAGTTACCTCCTGGAGCAGACAGTCCCCCTCCCCTGCAAACCCTGCCCCAGCACACACCTTGTCAGGGTGGAGCAAGTCCTGGTGCCTACAGCAACTTACTTTGCTTGCCCTCACAAACACTTGGTTGACCAAGAAGTTCTACCTTTAACCTCTATCAGAAGACTCGTGAGCGGAAGGCAGGGGCCAGCTCCCATCAGTACATGTGATTGTGTCCCAGATCCCCAGCACGTGGGTGCACCGCCCCATCCAGGCTTAGTCAGGTCTTGCGGAATGGGGCTCTACTGAGATTCAAATGCATTAGCTATTTGTTAGATGAACTCATTCCTGGAACCTAGCAGGTGTTCAGAGCATGGTTGAATCAAAAGGGAAAGGGAAAAGAGGGTCCAGTGTAACTTTAGAGGAAGATTTATGTTTCACAAGAGTGCTGTGCAAACTTCAAATTTTCAGAACTCTGGGCATGTCAGGTCTGTCCACAGGACTCAAAGTCTTAGCTCCATTATGAGCCATGGCACTGACAAGCCAACGTCAGTGACCGCACCTGGTTCCTCACGTTACTGGGCAGCTTCAGCAAAGCTTAAACTCCCGCCATGGGTGTCACTGCCAGCTGATGCCTGCTAAGTTGCTGACCCTTGACTTGGGGCTCTGAGTTGTTGAGGTGGCTCCAAAAAGTTCCACTCATCAGAGATCAAGTCAACTGGCCTCATAGAGCACCTGTGCATCTGGGATCTGAGCATCTCCATATTGTCTTTGTTCTCCTTCAAGGTTTATATCTTCAGGGGCCCACGGCGGAGAAAAAACAAAAGGTATCTTGGTGGAACGGGCCCATCTTATCTCCTACAACCCCCCAACGATAGCTCCAATCCTGGTTCTTATGGCCCAGGCACACACGAGCATGAACAAGTAAAGGCAGGTTAATCAAACGTGTGTTTCTAGGACCTGTCAGGGCAAGCATAACTTTAAATAAAGGAATTAATGGACAGCCACCCTGAATAGACCACCCCACCCCCTCACCACCCTCTCTTTCCTTGTCACCAAGTCCTTCTCTAGTGAGACTGAGTCATAGTCTCTTGATTCTAAGAATTCCCACCTCCATCCCTAACTCCTTTCTGGAAAAGACTAGGCAAACATAACCCATTCTTTATGGTCCAGGTGAGCACTTCTCTTCAGGAAGCCTACCTTGACTGCTTACACACAGTGAGCTCTCACCCCCTTCTCTTTGTATTGCCCATGCCACTCATTTGCAGCCCTGCCTTCCTCTGGGCATCTCCCTTGTCCTCTCAGGTAGATGATGAGCTCCTTAACAGGGCACTGGTCTATACTTGCACCTCCCGCCTCCCCATGGTGTTCCCTCTAAACTTGAGGTCAGCAGACTTGTCAAAAACACACATTTAAAACCTAATTCAGAGTGGTTACTGCCAGTGAATATTTTTCATCGCTCTCAGACAAGTATGGGAAATTGAAATTTGTGCGAATAGGCTAAAGGGTAAAAAAGAGAGGCTGGCACACAGCACTGATGAAGCTATTTGCAAAGCCCTCCTAGTGCTCTAATGTGATGGATGAGAGAGAGAACTTCACACACGAACAAAGAGAAGGGAATCCCCACTGTGATTCCAGCCACGGAGGCAGAGGGGTTGGGCTCAAGTTTTTCTTCTGCCGCTAACTTGCTTTCTCTTCTCTGGGTTTTTCTACGTGTTAAGTGGGCATGTTGGATCAGTAACTAGGTCATATGATCGCTTTCCTTTCTGAGTTTCTATGACTGATTATTCTGAGTTATAGGTCACTTTTGACAGCGTCGAAAGACCCAGAAAATAACAAGCAAAGTCCACATAAACTCTCTCAGCCACAGGCCAGATTATCTAGTTGGGTAAGAAAACAGAGGCAGGTATGGACATGCACTCCAAGAAAAATGCTCCACCAGATACTCAAGTTTGATCTGAACCAATCAATCCAGTCCTTGGAGGTCCAGAATATGATCTTCAAGGCTCCCTGAGCCAGGTAAAGCCTGCACTAGGCCAGTTGTAAAACACAAATTATAGTTTTGTTTTGGACCGAATGAAAGAGCCGGATTCAATGAGAGAGTTACTGGTATTAACTGAACCGAGTTCTACTACTTGGTGATTGAAAACAGCATCATGTTAGAAAGACCACTTCATCCCCACTAGCCTTGCAGGCCAGGGATTAAGCTGATTTGGCTGCTGCAGCTCAGCCCCCTGTACCTGTCTGGGGCTGTGCCAGCCAATTCCACTGCTTAATTCTCATTCACTTGTGGCTGCAGGTTTGGGGAGACATCTCTAAGCCAATTCCTTTCTGACTTTATCAAAGATCCCACGTGAAAGAGCTTCCCTATTATCCAGGTGAGGCCCACGTTAATCTAGATCATATTTCTGAGTGTGCTCTGGACCAGCCTCACCAGAAGACCCAGGGTGCTCATTCAAAGGGCTGATATTGGTGACCCACCCTAGACCCCATCTGTGGGTTGAGACCTAAGGTTTGGCCCTGATGTTTCAGAACCATTGCCCCAATTCTTGCTATACCTGACCAACTCAGCTTCCGGCAAATAGAAACAGCCCACTACTTTGCTCAACTAAACTCTCTGAAGTGGGCTGAGCCTTCAAAAACATTTTAAATCTCTTTCTTCTGAAATCCCCAGAATAATGTGTTTTAAAATTTCATTTTAAGTCCTAACAACATTACTGTTATCCAGGCATAAAGAGAGTTTGAGCAAAAGATGACCTACCATCTTATCAGGAACAATCCTGGGAGACAACAGGCACAGGTGGTTGTCAAAAGACATGTGCTCATGTATCACTCAGAGCAAGGGTGGCGTGGAGGCAGCAGCCAGCTGCCCAAGGCCTCAGAGTGTTGATCTCAACTACCACAGCCACGCCCAGCACCACTACCATTAGCAACCTGCGGTTATTCTTCTTGTTGATCAACCTATTTTCCAAACCACGTTTCTTTTTTGGGCTACATCTCTGAGTTCCTACTACATGGTTTGGACAAAGCAGAAAGAGCTCTGAACTGAGAGAACGGGGAAAACCCCTTGACCCCAAGACCCGCCTCTCATTTTCACATTCTTTTTTCTGCCCTAAAGGAATCTGGCATGGTCCCAGCCGCCCAAGGGAGGTGGCTAACAAAAACAGGAACTGAAATCAAGCCACAGGAAGTCCCTCCTGGAATAGAGTGCACAACTGTCCATACCTGCTCCAAGTTTAGGGTTTCCCAATACTTGTGCTGTAGAATAAAAAGAGAGACAGAGAAGCATTTGATAGATTTTGCCACTGCTGCTGAGCAGAGCAGAACTCAGCACCTGCCCTGACTGCTCAGTGAGGCCAGGAGGCAGGCCCCTCTGACGCCGAGGGCAAAGGTACAGCAGGCAGAAAGGCTGCAGCTCCCAGTAGCTACAGCTGAGTTTAATGATCAATAGGATAATTGTGATAATTACGAAGGCTGCAGGTCCTGGGGAAAATTATACTCCATACAGATTCTTAAATTACCATTATTAGAAATTAATACCAGGTGTAATAATAATAATAATAATAATAAGTCTTCTATTTATTAACCACATGGCAGAGGTGAGTCAACTCAAAACCACAAAACTAAGAAAGAAAAATGCAAATAAAATCCCCACCTGGAAGTATAGGGCATTTGCTATCAGCCAAGATTCATTTTTACTCAACCTTTACTGCACAGTTGGTTCCACTCCAAGCCTCAAATATGCCTGAGTCAGTTCTTGTAGGGCAGCTTTACAGAGGCTCTTGTCCTCTGGCACCGCATACAGCGCCTAGGAGACGTGTTCTGACAGAGCTATGAATCTGCAAATGTCAGTTATATTGATCTGTGAATGTCTATTAGGTTAGCTGCCAATCTGAACAGTCCATGGGATTTGGCATTACTGCCACATTAAAACCAAGCCTCTACTGTTCAATTCTTACATTTCCATTTCAAACAACTTTTTAATGATAAGATTTTCAATCATACACAAAAGAATAACCTCATAAACACTCCTGGACACACCCTGTTTTATTTGCTCTGGCGCCTCGATATTTCTATTGGCTGAAGTAGTTTAAAGTAAATAATTTCTTCTGTAAATACTTCAGCATATATCCTATTGATAAAGACATTTTTAAAAAATTCTAAGCACAATGTCATTTTTATACCTAACAAAATTAGTAATAACTCCATAGCATTCATATTTTAATGACATCCTGATTGGAGGGATATAAACTGAAAAAGAAAAGATTAATTGGAGAAGACACAAAATTACTGAAAGTGATGGCTCTACATACATTGCAAAAGATGGGAATCTTGATGACAACATACGGGTTCAAAAAGTTAAATATCTCTTACAGATAAATACAGATGTTCATGCAAAATAGAAACGGCTTTCTGTGGTTACTACAGTGAGTGGGTGCTTTGTTAAAAAAATTACTAAATGCAATGTGATATACTAGAATGCATACTAGAATGTAACCTGCAACAGAATAAGAATATTAATGGAAAACTGGTGAAATTTAAATAAAATCTGTAGTTTAGTTAATAGTTATGCACTAACATTAATTTCTGAGTTTTGACCAATGTAGCATGGTTCTCTAAGACATTAATGTCAGGTGAAACTGGGTAAAAGTTTACAGAAACTCTCTGTGCTACCTTTGCAACTTGTGTGTAAATCAAAATTATTCCCAAAAACGTTTATTTAAAGCTGAACAAGCAAACAAGCAAACAAATAAATAAACAAATAAAGCTTAAGAGTCTCCCCAACTGGGTTGACATGAAACCTTAAACTTCTTTCCAAACCTTCAGCATCATAGACAATCTAAAATTTAAGAAGAGTGCCCTCTAGTGGAGCTAGTAGTCAAGGTTTCTTTTTTAAGTTTAAACCAATGATAGTGTGCCTGAGTGCCATTAACCCAAAGCTTTGTAACTGAGGTCTCTCTCCACTGCCCTCAAAGTAAAAATAAATCAAACTTTATAATCTCTTCTTCATTTCAAGAGTGAAATATATTCATTTTTGTATAGAAATTTTTTTCAAAAGAACTACAGATTGCCCATAATTTTATCTCCAAAAGAGCCTCTATGAAGTGATTCAATAGCTCTCAGAAATACACCCCCCCCAAATTGTGCAAATGGCTGTCCCTACTTAAAATGTAATGAGTATTTCCTTAAAGAGGACCTTTTGTGAACCACAGCATAGAGTACTTACTTCAGTTTACCTCATTTCTACAAGCACACTTTGTCACGCTTCTGAAACTCGGAGGTATCCTTCAGCCCTTGTGCACAGGACATATGGTAACTTTTCCTTTGTTCTTGGAGACTTTGAGGAAACAATCACTTTCCAGGCTTACGTTTTAGACCACAGCAGCTGGATGTGCCTCACAGCCCATTTGTCCAGCTTCCACCTCTTATCCTTCGGGAAACGTGACTTCCCCAACATCGGAGAGGTGACAGGTTGCGGCACTCAAGGCCAATTATAAAGTTTTTTTGTTTTCGAGTATAAAGTTTTAAGACTGGCCAGAGACACACCAGCCACAGTTCTCTCTTAATTTTATTAAGTGGATTTCCTTTTGATCTGGTACCTTACAGACTTTTAAACATTTGACCATAGCCCTAGCTGGGTAACCCAGTTGGTTAGAGCATCATCCTGATATGCCAGGATTTCAGGTTCAATCCTCAGTCAGCACACATGCAACAATCAACCAATGAATATATAAATAAGTGGAACAACAAATCAATGTTTCTCTCTTCCCCTTCCTTTCTCTCGCTCTCTAAAATCGATAAATAAAATTAAAAAAACATTCCACCGAATGCTTCAAAATTTCATCCTTTCTACTTCATTTTTTTCCAACCTGAAAAATATTTTAGTTAGTTAATTAAGGAGTTTTTTTGCTACTTATTCTGTATCAAGCACCGTGTTGCAAGCCTCACACGTTCTGTCCTCCTAACTGCCCAGACTGCCCTCACTGCCCTTTCTTCCCGGGCCGCTGTGGGGAACATGGGGTAGGAGATGCGAACATGCGTCCCAGGCTGTGAAGCGCTGTGTGAAAGGCCTAGCGTGAACTTGATCAGCGAGAGGGAAGTTCTGACTCACAGTGGGGCAGTTTCTTTTATAAAGATGACACACAGTTTCACTTCAGGTACATCTGAAGGCTGGAATAAAAGGGCCAAGACAGAGAAGCCGCGTGCGTTAAAATGGAGCGCAGCAGCCTCGGGAGCAGCACCTCCAGCTCCACTCACCAAGAGCGAAAGGCCTTGGCCATCTTGCCTCCTGTTTCTCATTTTTTTAAAGCCCATTTTTTTTTTCTAGTTTTTGAGATATAGTTGATAATATCACATTGTATGTACCTAATTTTTTGGAAGAAATTTCGCTGTTCAAATGCTGCTCAGAAGAACTGAAGAAGAGGTCTAGGGATGGGCCAGAAGTGCAAATAATTGAGTTTGATTTAGGAGCAGTGTTGCCAGATAAAACACAGGATGCCCGGTGAAACCTGAATTTCCGATCATAAATGTTTTAGTGTAGGCATGTTCATCTAAAATTCAAATTTCATTGGATGTCCTGTATTTTTTGCCTGTTAAATGTAGCAACCGTACTCTGGAGTGCAGGGAAGACTTCCTGGAGGACGCAGGATTTAGCTAGTGCCTTGAGGGACAGGACGTGAAGACCTCAATAAGTGAAGAAACCCAGAGAAGAGAAAGCAGGTCAGATGTGGGAGAGACAGAGAACTGGCCCAAGGCCAGACGACTAAGTGTCCTGGAGGTCAGGATAAAGGGCCCAGACTTAAACTGTAAGTGGGAAGGAGCCACAGAAGGCCTTAGAGCCAGGAGGCCATGGGGCCGAGGGCTGGGAAGCCCCTGGGTCGGACGCAATGAAAGGAAAGGTGGATCTCAGCCTGGAGCATCTGTATTGGTTCAAGTAGAAGTAGTTATGCTCTTCCCTGAATTTCGGACAGTGCGTTTGGAAATGTTTCTGGAGACTGAGGATGCCAGAGGTGCCAAGAGTGGCATCTGGGCACACCCAGCAGCCTGAGCTGCTGTACTATCAAGGACATGAACGAGTTTGGGCTCTGGCTGGTGTGGCTCAGTGGATTGAGCACCAGCCTGCAAACTGAAAGGCTACCGTAACCTTTGCAGGGCACATGCCTGGGTTATGGGCGAGGTCCTCAGTTTGGGGTGTGTAAGAGATAACTGAATGATATTTTTCTTCCTTCCTTCCTCTTTCTCTAAAATAAATAAAATCTTTAAAAAACAACAACAAGTTTTGCAGGTGGTTGACCCTTCTGTTTTCTTTTTCTTTCTTAAAAAAAAAAAGATGTTTATTTATTTATTTTTAGAGAGAGGAGAAGGGAGAGAGAAAGAGTGGGTTAGAAACACTGATGTGAAAGGGAAGCACTGACTGCTGCCTCCCCTATGTGCCCCAACAGAGAACCAAACTGGTGGCCTTTTGCTTTGTGGGACGATGCCCAGCCAACTGAGACACACTGGCCAGGGCCCTTCTGTTTTCCTGCTGGAAGCCTTTCTACTGTTATGAATTGACTCGTGTAATTTCATCCTGCTCCTTTCAACAATACACTTTGACACTTAGGGTCATGTTGCTAAGTGGGACCTTAAAGATCGCCTAGCCCACAGCTGGGGTTCCACAAGGAACATTTATGTGACCAGTGCTCTACTGCATCAAAGCTCCTTCACACCCTGACCTTGGTGGAGTATCCCCATCCTCCCTGAACTCATTATCTGTGTTTTCAGAACAGGTTCAGGAAAATAAGTGGGTGTTGCCTGGTTCCATGGCCAAAAGGGCTCGAGTGAGTAGTGAAGCCCACTACCAGCTCGGTTTCCAATGCACGACATATATCGCCTTTGCGGGTCTTGCAAAGCCCCATCAGCACCGCCATTTGGCCCCCATAGTCACTCTGTAACATAGGCACGGAAGGTCTCATGATTCCCATTTACTGAGGTAGAAGCGAAAAGTCAAGAGAGAATCCCTTGTGTCTGCTTTCCTCATTCCCAGGGGAGCTAGCTGGCGGCTGACACATTTCAGGACGTACTGTCTTTCAATCTTTCATGGCAGGTGATGCTACCTTCCCCGGGGGGAAACAGATCAGTGGGGAAGCCACATCCTTAACCTCATTTCTATCTAGCCTTTGGTACCTATTGTAATGTTCTGGCCTCTTTCTTCTTATCTACATGTATTTTCTCCTAACATGAGTGCTTCTTAGATTTTTTTCTTAAAGATTTTATTTATTTATCTTCAGAGAGAGGGGAAAGGAGGGAGAAAGAGAGGGAGAGGAACATCAATGTGTGGTTGCCTCTCAAGTGCCCTCTATGGGGGACCTGGTCTGCAACCCAGGCATGTGCCCTGACTGGGAATCGAACTTGCGGCCTTTTTGTTTGCAGGTGGGCACTCAATCCACTGACCCACACCAGCCAGGACTACATGAGTGCTTTTTAAGAAATCTTCACCCAAGGGTATGTTTATTGATTTTAGAATGAGAGGAAGGGAGAGAGAGTGGTAGAGAGAAATATTGATGCAAGACAGAACATCAACCAACTGGTTGCCTCATGCACCCGCCCCGAATGGGAATTAAACCTTCAAACTAGGTATGTGCCCTGACTGGGGATCAAACCCTCAGCCTTTTGGTGCATGAGATGATGCTCCGACGAACTGACCCACCCGGCCAGGGCTCACATGAACACGTGTATAGTCTGTGCACGTGCACATGTGTGTATTTATTTATCCCTTAAAAGAATGCTTTGGCTTTAAAAATGGCAAATGTCCAAAGGAAACTGTCCTGGTCTGTTGGAAACAGGGTTTGGAGAAGGCACAAACAGTCCCAGTTGTCAAGAGCCTCGTTCACATGGGCACAGAATTAGCAGGGCACATGGACCCAGGACTTGACCCTCTTACAGACAGAGCAATCTGGTGCTGGGCGTTGTCCCCCGCCCCGCCCCCCACACCACTGCACCAGCTCGAGTCACAGTCATTCTCCAACATGCAGATTTTGTTCCAATGACAGAAACAGCCTCCTTGTGGAATTCCTGCAAAGCTTCCTATGCCAGGTCTATGGCATTGCTAGGAAGCACAGAGGGAAAAAATAACTACATGTGCTTTTGTCATGAAGTTCAACGTCATCTTTTTTATCATGCCAGAGACTAAAAAGGAAAACAAAATAAAACCTTTAATAGAGAGAGGAACTGTATCAATGCTGGGGGAAAGTGACCCTGCACTCATAAAACAGGTGCTGGCTGCCCCGGAAAGGGACATGGCCACCCCTGAAAGCCCTGCTGCCCTTGGGCCTCGGCTGCCACCTGTAGACCACGGGCAGACAGTCACCCTTCCTCTACATCTGCTCAGCACGCTGTCCGGAAGGCCATGCCAGGAGCAGGGCTGCCTTGTGTTGAAGGGGCGAGCAAGTGGACAAATGAATGAGTGGATTCACAGTGTCTGCGGAGTGCACCGCCTCTGGTGGAGAGGGCTGGAAACTCACAGCCCAAGCAAATGGCCTGAGGCTCCAACGCCATTCCTCTGGTGCCCTGACCAGCCCAGCCAGTGGACACTTGCGGAAAGGTGGAAATACTCAAGTTCTCCCTCCACGTGAACTCCCACGGACTCATCTGTCTGTCTCACCCTGTCTCCTATTCTGCCATCACTGGAATTACTTGTAATTCCCAGTGTTTCATCCTGTTTATTAGACAGGGCACCCCGAGAATCCAGGTGGAGCACAGGTGAGTGGAAAGAGCCTGGGGAGAGTCAGCTTTCTCACCTGTAAAAAGGGAATGATGGGTACTACACCTGGTCCCGCACACCTCCCGAGGCAGGAGTTCCTGCCAAGGCAGAGGAGCATAGTGGCTACAACAGGGGTTTCCCAGCCAGGCAGAGCTGGGCTCAAATCCCAGGCCTGCCAATTATTATTATTATTAATATTAATATTAATATTAATATGGGGGAGGGGTGAGTTACTTAAACTCACCGCCCCAGTCTTTTCTTCTGGAAAACAAGGATAACAAAGATACTTGCCTTGGGGCAGTTAAGAGGATTACACCAAACAGGGTCTGTAAAGTACAGAACATCAAGTGCCTGGCTCTTGATGCACACAGTCACTGTTAGACACACACACCGAGTCCTGTTATTCTTATTAATGGATTTTAAAACACTTAGTGAGCTCGAGTGCTGTGGATGCCGCGTGATGTTGAGGCACTGCTGTCCCCCACCGCCCCCAGCGCAGCAGGAAGTGGGTATTCAGAACCGGCAGGGAGCGTCCCAAGGACGTGGACAAAAAACTGCCCGAGAGTTAAGTTACAAAATCATGAAAACCACAGAAAAGATAAACACTCCTCTTCCATTGTCGGGGAACGGCCCCAGGCTCACACACCTTCTGTCAGCGGGAACTGACAAGGACTCACGGACGGACCCACGGGGTCAAGCAGACGCAGAGGTGGTCGAGGGCACGGAAGCCCTCCTCAGCGGCTCCAGGAGAGACAGCTCGGGTGGGGCGCAGCCCCACAGAGGGGGCCAGGAGCTCCAGATGTCTTAGTCCAATGTCATAAAATATTTAAATTGTGAAGTCCTGGGAGCAAGAGAAGTCACCAGCCAGGGAAGTGATGACCTAAGGCCCTGCACTGATTCGTATGACCCAGGCCCTTTGGAATGTGGCCTGGAGGAGTAAGGCAAGAGTCAGACACCCACTGTGACCCACTGACCAAGTACCTCCCACCCTGAGAGGGGGGTTTGGACCAGCCCATCAGTTCTTGGGCGTTATTCCTTCAAATCCTCACCCTCAGAAAATGCCTGCTGAATGAGTGTCTCAAAGGACCGGTCAGGTGCCGTGTTACACTGTCTGCTAAAAGACGCCTTCTTACTCACGTTCGGTTGTAAAGGGGCCAGGATCTTTAAGGAATATTGCCCCCAAAACAGGGGAGGCTATCAAGTCTGCACAATCCCTCCACTGGTTGGTAGGCTTGTGAATTTATTTTTATTTTCTCCTTCACATTTTCCAAATTTTCTACAATAAGTAGGTATTACTTCTAAAAACAGAAACTATAGATTACCAGAGGCCCAAGAAATCACATACCTGACAAAAGCTTCACTGTGTCCTGCTCATATATTCAACTATTTGTATCGGGACCCTTACAGCCCGTTTGACCTGCTTGTGTATATGTTTAGTGAAATTGCAAGCTGTTCCTTTACGGGACTTGGCAACTTGGCCGTTCAGTGCCCGTATGTTTCAGGTGGTAAGGAGGGCTGCGCGGAGGGGTGGGGCGGGGTGAGGGTGGGGGGTCGGGGGGTCGGGGCAGCTGTGCCTCTAAAACATATTCCTTCTAACATGTGCAAAAGCATCCCTTTCCATGTGCTTAATTGAAGAGTATGACCTTGTGCCCTTGGAATTTATATAGTTAAAAAAAAATCAATGTATAAAAAGAGAGAGTCACTAGAGCAGGGGAAGCACAAGGACTGTGAAACAGAGAAAGGGCCCACACCAGCCACAAAGACAAATGTTCAAATTTTTCAAGGTCACCGTCCAGTCCTGACCTTCACTGTGGGTGGAGGACAAAAATCACCTGTTTCCACAGTGCAAATGTCACCCCCAGCCCTGATCTCCGGAGGACTTCCCTGACCCGCTGACTTCACCAACTGTCCCTTCTCCTCCCCAAACACACTCTACCACCAGGCTCCTTGTTTGCTGTTTAGTCTTGGATCACTGCCCCAACTGCTGGCTCCCAGCTGCCAGGCCATGTGTCTTCAGTGAATGAACCCAAGGGATAAACAATACTGAATGACTCAGGCCCCACAGGCCCCACATGGTCTCCTCACTCAAAACCCAGCTCACAATGACCAGCTGTGTTCCAGGAACAACGGATAAAGAGAAAAGCGGTCCAAGTCCTACACCTGAAAGCTCCTACACAAGCCTGGCGGAGAGACAGGCCCCTTCAGCTCATCATCTACACAGCAAACAGCGGAAATTGTGTGTGAGAGAGGTATAGGCTCTGGGCGTCCAAGGGAAGGAGCCATTCATCTCTGGTGTGTCTGGGGGGAGGGGGGACGGGGCGCCAGGGAGGAGATTAATTTCACACAGCAGGTGGCATGTGGGTAGGATTCTGACACATGGAAACCGGGCCAGAGAAAACCCCAGGTACAAAGCCCTACAGGCCGGGCACAGGGTACCGTCCACAGCCAAGGTGGACACCTAGGTTGTCGTAGGGGAGAGACGCAAGGTGGGGGCAAGCGTGAAGGTCTGGAACCTCAGACTAGGGGATCTGGACTTTATCCTACAGATCAACGGCTCTGAGTCTTTCAGACTTCGGAGCCCACTATGAGTTTAATAAATTTGGGGGACCTACCTAGGACAGTTAATGGATTATTTTGCCAAATACGGCCATTAACATCAAAACAAAAAAACACTAATTACCACATATTATTATCATTTCATAAAAGAGTATTTTAACACCAAATAGTAGAACACAGACCCAGAATGAAGGACAGTCCTTCCTCACCCCCAGGACGGGCAGCTGACACCCTCCTGCCGGCAGCACGCGTGCACTACACCGTTCTTGTTCTCATTTTCCAGAATCAGGGAAGCTGCCTGGTAAACAGGGCAGGAGGCCACAGCTGTGGGACCGAGTGACAGGACAGCTCAGACCTGAGGGTTACACCTGTTTGTGGTATTCAAGATGTGACACGCTTTGTTCGCAGATCCAAGAATCAAAACAAGGTCAAGTTTCTGACAGCGCCAGGCTTCCATGACTCTGATGGCACCACAGGGTGCAGCTGTGCTCCTGGGGGAGGCAGGGGGAAATGCTCCCGTGGCCACGCGGGTCTGGGAAACACTGAGACCCTTTCAAAGTTTATTCTTCATGCATTTATTTTTGTAAATGAATGTGCAAGTGATTCTCCGAGACCGCACTGCACCATGCAGTGTTTCCCTGACGAATCTGACCATGGAAAGCCCTTCTCAGCACTGTCAGTGTGGGAAACTCCTCAGGCAGGTGGCAGCACAGGCTTATTCATTATTCATTACTTAGCAGGCGTGAGGTTAGAGTGGGCGGATTCGAGAACCGCAGCGCAAGCAGCCAGCAGGCACCAGCAGGGGTCACGAAGGAGGACGCCCATGCACCCGCAGGCAGGCAACAGCGTGTACCTCAAGGTCGGAGTTGATGGAAGGGACCTCGGAGGAGCTGCTGGAGGACACGCGGGCCCGGATGACTTGAATGGGAGGGTACGAGGGGGGTTCCTCCAGGGACGTGGCTCCGGTGCTCATCTGCCCGTCGCCCGGCAGCCTGGAGGCGTTGTAGCCTGCCTGCAAGGTATTGTGGGGAAGCGTGGCCAGGCACACTTAATTTACGTCTTTATTTCTGATTTGTCAAAGCACTCACATACTCCAATATTCAAAAGTAGGGCAGGTTGTAGAGGGCAATGCCTACCTCCACCTTTACCCCCCAACCATCGTGTTGTTTCCTGTTCCTGCGTACCCTTCCAGGTAGCCTAACATATACAACCAAATGCATATATATTATCCCGACTTCCACACATGGTAGTATGCCCAACACTCTCTTATGCATCTTCTTTTTTTCTCTCTTAATATGTCTCAGGTAGTACTGTATCAGAATGTTTTTTGGTAGCATTGTATAGGTGTTCACAATCTAGTCAGCCAGTCCCCTACTGATGGACGTTTAAGGTATTTCTAGTCTCTTGCTTTTACGATCATCACTGACTGCAGTAGATTACATTGCACATCCAAAACTGCAGGGTATTTATAAAGGATAAATTCCTAGACGTGGAATTGCTGGCTCAGAGGGTATGTGCCTCTGTAATGTGGACAGCTGTGGCCAAAAATGCACTCCACGGAGGCCTTATCGACTCACACCCACCAGCAGCAGAAAGTGAGTTAGAAAGGTTTAAGAGAGCTTCTATATGTCTCTATCCATCAATCATCTATATAAATTCTATATATGATCTGTCAACTATCTATTACTCGACCAATTATCCCTCTATCACTTATCAGCTTCCTGTATTTTCTATGTATCTATCATCTTTTTTATCTGTATTCTGTCAATCATCTGCCTGTCTCTATCTACCTACTTATCCATCCATCCATCCATCCATCTATCTGTATTCAGAAGACAGCTTCCCCCTGCAGGGCTCACAGGACTCGGGGAAGGGCTTCCCAGGTGGACTCGAAGGTGTGAGGGCTGGGGTTTCAGAGCCAGGCAGTCATTCCACTGATACACCACAGGGGAGAAACCTGCCTCTGGACCCATATCTTTCACCGACTAACCATTTGTCCTCAGGAAGAAATTAATCCTCCTGGAGTCTCAGTTTCCTAATCGATAAAAGGGAGTGGTAATCCCTACTGTGCCTCCTTTGAAATGGTGTCACAAGGCTCAGATATAAATGTCCTGGACACATAAGAACACCTACTGGACCCCAAATACTGGACCCCAAATCACGCGGGGCTCCAGTGTGACTGGAGTGACTAGAGTGTGACTGGAGGGTGACTCTGGTGTAAGTGCAGATTCATGTGAGAGTTGGCTAGACAGGCAGAGAAAGTCCCCAAAGGAGGCAGAGGCAATGTTCCAGGTGGCCCCTGGGCGGGTGTGGGAACTGGGGGAAACAGAGGCCTCCAGGCAACAACAGATTCTACAGAAACCTCCAGGCCTGATCGCACCCGAGTCAACAGGTGAAATGGAGTTTTCACGTGCTCTAATCCTTTGATCCCAAGAACCCACAGCCCTTGGTCCTCCAGCTCAGCCTGAACCCGGATGCATCCTTTGGGAAGTCTCTCCTTAGGACTAGTGTCTGGCAGTGGCACTGGGAAGATGACTAAGTAGCCTTCTGCTCCAGCTGCCACTTCCAGATGGCTGTCCGAACAGGACATATATCAATACCCATGGCCGCAACCTTGCCCCCTGGGACACTCTCAAAAAAAAAAAAAAAAAAGAAAAGAAAAAAGAAAAAATTTGCCAACCAAGCTCAGGTCCCAGAATCGGATAGGCTTAGTTTAAAACCTGTATCTGTGACTTCCTAACTATGGGATTTGGGCAAGTGACTTAAACCTCTCTGTGCCTCAGTTTAAAGTAATAAAATTATTATTAATAAATAATCACAATAGAAATAATAGTATCTATCTCATAGGTTATTATGAAAATGTGTGTTCATGGTAATTTTAAAAAAGCAACCATTTATCAAGTGTTTACTTGGTGTCAGCCATTGCATCAAGGGCAGTGTGCAGAGTTGTTAAAGGCACAGACCCGCGCAGAGACAAATCTGAATCCTGGTTCTACCACTGACAAACTGTGTGACCTTGAGCAAGGTGCTTAACCTCTCTGTGCCCCATTTCCCTCATCTGTAAAATAAGGGGTTGGCTGTGAGGATTAAATGAATTAATCTAGGTAGAGCACTTAGACCAGTACTCTAAGCACTATGACCGGTACACTAAACATCATGGAAACATCGGCTGCTAATATTTACTCAGAGCCTGGCAAGTAGTTAGCTCTCAATAAACAGACCATCATGTAAATAGAGGCCCCAGAGCCCAGGGAGGAGGCTTCCGCCCTGAGGACGGTGGGGCTCAGGGTTCCTTCAGGGAGCTATTTCAAAGACACCTCTCGCCCTCTGGTGGACACAGAAAGACGATGCCGGGCATACGTTTTGCTCAAAAATGTGCTAGTGGGGTCTTAATGAAAGAGAACCGAGGAACACATTCTTCTTTCACGGAGTCTGTTCCCCAGGAGGAATCTATTCAATATTCAGGTACTACAAGGGTTAAAGTAAATGCATTTCTGCACTATTATTTTTCAGAAGCTCCATGATTTTAAAATGTGAAAGCTTTGGCCAAGTGCCGCCAGGGTTCCCTGTGCTGTCCCCAGGGCCTCCCATCACGCACCCACCCTCCCATCAGAGGAAGGATTTAACAGCTGAAGCGGGCTCTTAATTGAGAAAGCATGCGCCAGATATCCCTGAACTTGACTTATAGCACCTGCGGGTTATTTGCACCCACTCTCCAATGAACAACAGAGAGTTAAACTTATGTCTCAGGCCCAAATTCTCTGATGGTCAGTGTGTCCTGTGGGCAGCTCAGTGGGGGCAGCTACGACTGAACTCTGTTCCAAACACACCGTTCCAGAGACCCTGTGACAGGATGCACCAGGGTCTAGGCAAACGACACAGAAGGAGACACAATTTATATCCCAGCAGGAAAAAAGACAACAAACAAAAGTAAAAGATGGTGGGCAGTGTTTTTTGCAGAGCATTTACAAAGGAAATAAAGTAATATGACAGAGATGGAGGCTGCTTTTGAATGGGTGGTTGGGGAAGGCCTTTGGGAAAGTGACATTTGGATGGAAGACCAAAAGACAAGAGGCAGCCATGTTTAAAAAAGTCAGAAGGAAGAGCATCCAGGCAGAGGAAAGAGGAGAGATCCTGTGCCTCAAGAGAACAGTGAAGAGGGAAAGAGCAGGGGAGGCAGCCAGAGAGGGAGCATGGGGCCGGCAGGGCCTGGGAAGTCTATGTAAGAGGTTTAGAGTTCATTCTTCATGACATGGGAATCGATAGGAGTATTTTAATTAATTAATTAATTAACTAATTTTATTTTTTAGATTTTTTTTTTTAAGAGAGAGGGGAAGGGAAAGAGAAAGAGAGGGAGAGAAACATCAATGCGAGAGAGAAACATCCATCAGTTGCCTCTTGCACGCTCCCAACTGGGGACCTGGCTCGAAACCCAGGCATGTGCCCTGATGGGAGATAGAACTGGCGAGCTTTCGCTTTGCAGGATGGTGCTCAGTCAACTGAGCCACAGGAGTTATGGCTCCAGAAGAGCATTTTAAACAAAGGAGGAACAAGATGTAATTTACATTTGTAAGAGACGCTTGCAGATGGAGAGGATGGGACCAAAATAGCAGTGGAGGGGAAACCAAGTTAGGAAGCTGCTGCATCTATTTAAAAAGTAGTACGAGGCATGTATTTATAGATTTGCAAATGGATTGGACAAGGGTGTGTAGTGAGGGGAGGAGGGGACTTGGGGTTTGACCGACAGCACAGACAGTGGTGTCCTTTACTGAGATCAGGAAGGCGGGGAGAGGCTTGGCCACGGGAATCCAGAATTCGGTACCGGACATTGTCGGTGTGAGATGCCATGTGGTGTGTCCAAACGGGCAGCTCGCAGCCAACACTAAAATGAGGGTGTAACAGTGGAAAATTGTAATGGTGGGAAGCAGTAACCCACCTCGCCATTCTTTTGACATTGTTTCTGAAAGTGCTGACTCTGACTCATATGGAGGTTGTAGATAATGCCATGTTTGTATAAGAATCCTAGGAATGAACTTCAAAAGATACAGACTCCGACCTTTAGTCATCCCACCTCTGGGAGATTTGCTGACCTTCATCTATGGAGCTAGGATGACGTGCAGCTGAGGCGGTGTGAAGCCACGATGACTAAACCAGGACGATGTGCGCCAGGCCATCACTTGCCTCATCGGAATGGACTGTGCTTACCTGCACGTAGAGAACTTTGCAACCCTCTCCCTTGATATCTTTGTTCTATTCCCCTGTCCCTCCTGATAAAAACCTCTGCCTCCACTGAGATGTGGAGATGGGCTTTGAGACAGGAGTCCCCGTCTTCCAGGTGGCCAGCACCTAAACATAAGTCACTCTCCTTTACATCAGCACCTGCCTCTCAAGTACTGGCTTTCACAGTGGCAGGCAGCGGGACCTGCTTTCGGTTACAGAGGGAGAGTAAACGGATGGAGACATGCAAAGGGAAATAGCAAGGGCTGGTGTGTGAGCTGTGGGACTATGGGACTGGAAGAGGATAAAGAGAGAAGAGGGTCCTGCAAACTTAAAGTCAAGCTCACCAGGAGGAGGCAGAAGAAGTGACAGGGAAAGAACACCTGTGACAGCGAAGCCAGAAGAGGGAGGGCCCCAGAAGTCACAAGGAGCTAGTGGTCAAGTGAGTTAAATCTCAATGAGGACAAAAATGATCCTGAAATTTAGCAACTTGGAAGTCACCAGTAATCCCGACAAGGACAGTCTTAGTGGGGTGGTGGGACCTGGACTTGCCACGCCTCTCTCTGTTTTCTCTAACCCCCTTCCTCCTGAAGACCCCCGCGTGCAGGCCAGACCCCTGGGAGACATCTGCAGCCCTCCGTCTCCCTCACCCCCACACCCTCACTGCCCCCCGCGCTCTACCTGCCAACTCCGCCCCATCTCCACTTCTCTCCCCGGCTCCAGCCTCGGTTCCGGTGGCACCACACCTTTCCTGGACTTACAACTGTCCCTCGCTGACCGCATGACTCTAGCCTCCTGTCCCCTAGCCTGTCGTCCATAGTGCCCGACTGATGGCTCTAAGATGCACGTCTGACCTTGAGCCTTCGAGACTCCCATCACCTCAATGACAGCTTCTGCAGTGAGCCATCACCCTTGTCTCCTCGCCACCTGTCACCTCCAAACTCTCCCCAGTGAGAACGCTCTCTCCTTTTTTCCCCTTTTTATTATTTTTAAAAAAATCTTTCTCTTTCTCTTGTTTTTCCCTTCCCCTTTTTCATGCTTCCCTGCCTCATCCTGTCCAACCTGTAGCGCAAGTGTGACCTCTTCCAGTAAGCCTTCCATGACTACTTCCCACCCCCTGGACATCTGGCTGTGGCCCACGGCCACTCACCTGCTGCACCGGCTCGATGGTCAGCTCCATGTAGCGACTGATGGCTGTCATCGTCCTGAGTGACTTGCAGTGTGCTAGTGTTGTGAGAGGCACCCAATCCAAATTCTTTCAAGCAGAGATGGAGAGACAAAAAGGGGAATTCTTAAGAGACACTTTCTAAAAACAAGGTCCCTTTTTCTTCCAAAAGAAATCCCTAAAGTGGTTTTTTCCTTTTATCTGCACATCTCACTTTCTGCTTCCTATAAAATGTATCTTATCTCTTTGAGGTTGCACCAGGTCGTTCCCAAACTTTGCCGCACAGTGGAATCACCTGGGCATCTTGAAAAACCAAACAACTGATGTTTATCTCTCCACTCCTTCCTCCCAGATATTGATTTAATCGGTATGGACATGACCTGGAGGGTTTAAAAGCCTCACAGATGATTCTAAAGTTTGGGAACCACTGCAGTAGGTGCTCAATAAATACTTTTGTAAAGCAGTGGTTCTCAAACTGCAGTGTGCATCAGAAGCACCCCGTGGGCTGGCTTTTTAAAACACCCTGAGTTTTGGATTTGGGAGAGCTGAGTGGAGCCCTAGAATTTCCATTTCTAATGATGTCGGCCCAAGGACCGCACTCTGAGAACCACTGCTGTTGAAGAATGCTAAAGAGGCTGCAGAGGCTCTTCGGAACCCCTCAGAACAGCCAGACACACACGGCTCTCTTTACGCATTTTAGCTCCCTTCTGGGTTATAATTTCATAACATTTTCTAGAACGGAATGAAAATAACCTCCCTTCATGCAGACTTGGATCTTTGGTCCAAGCACCTAGATAAAAACCCCTATTACTTTGGCCATACCCACCGCTACCTTCTATTTCATTAACTCAGATTACATGTTAAGTTATGTAGCATGTAAACTTAAATAAACATGGTCCGGCAGAAGTAACGCCTGCTTGAGTGTGGTTGGTAGGGTCATACTATGGGTGCAATAATTTACAGTTTTAATTTGAACACTTCACCTAAAATGTCATATGGTGTGTTTGAGTGTGATATTATGTTCCAGAATTACATGCTTATGATTTTGTAATAAAAAAAGGGGGGGGATGTTATTTGTGCCAGACCCTGTATATGTGTAAGTTAATTACTAAATAGCATAAGTGGACATTTGACTATTTCATCTACATCACTAAAAATACATTGAAGTTTATTAAGTGTTCACAAAACTTTTAAAAATAGGTTGTAATTGGGAAAGTGGAGGATCCTATTTATTCAGGGCCCCTCAGCACTGGGCATAAACAGGAGTTTTTTCGAGTGACCAAGTGGCCAAGCTCAGAGGGACCGGCATCCTAGGCCCGCCTCTATGCCCTCCATGCGCAAACACTGGTGAGGCCTGCGGTTTTCCAGCCCGTGAGACCTTGCCTGGTTCCTCGCCTCCTCGTTGTCTTCCTCTTTCTCTGCACAGGTCAAGAGGGCTTGGGTGTCGGGGCTCTCTCTGGAGTCAGAGGCAAACCCCAACGCCTTCCTCAGCTTGCTCTTCATCACCCAGGAAAGGAAAATGATCTGGGAAGTGGAGTTAAGGTCCAAGGAAGCGCAGAGTTTCAGCCACCCAATGCCACCTTCACTTCTACACTCGAGGGTCCCACCCTGGGCTCTCACTCCCCGGCCTGGCGAGCTCATCCGAGGACAGGGCCAGGTCCGACTCTCTCTACTTTCTCCTCAAGGACCTACTGCCCAACAAGACCCTGCCTTTCTCAAGCACTTAGGAAATACTTGCTAAACAAAAAGTATTTTGAAAAACATCTTCTTTGAAGAGCTTGGCTTACAGGGACCATACCTATAGTGGGTTGAATAGTGCCCCCCCCCAAAATTCATATCTGGGACCCCAGAATGCGACCTTATTTGGAAAAAGGATCTTTTTTGATATAATTGGTTAAGATGGGGTTATACTGGATGAGGGTAGACCCTAAATCCCATGGCAGGAGTCCATATAAAAGTTCAGGACACACAGAGGCACACAGAAGGAAGGAGGCCCTGTGAAGATGAAGGCCGAGGTTCAGTTACGCCGCCCGAGCCGAGGAGCTCCAGGAGCCAGCAGGGGCTGGCAGCGGAAAGAGTCCCCCCAGAGCCTTCGGAGAGAATGTGCCCCGCCTGGATTTTGGACGTCTAGCCTCCAGAACTGAGAGAATAAATTTCCATTGTTTAAGCTGTCAGGTATGTGGCAATTTGTTATGGCAGCCCTAACGAATTTTTTAAATTGAGTTTATTGGGGTGATATTGGTTAATAAGAGTACATAGGTTTCAGGTGTACAATTCTGTAATTCATCATCTGTATATTATATTGTGTGTTCACCATCCCAAGTTTTCTTCCATCACCACTTATCCCCCCTTTACCCGCTCCTACCTCCCCCAAACCATTTCCTAGCGAATTAGCATAATCATGAGAAAATTAGTTTCTGAACTATTAATGCTAAATCCACAGGTTTTTCACACACACACCCCCCCATCTCCATCCCCCACTGTCTGCACTTAGCTGCCCTTGAGGTCCTCAGGCCAAGGTTACTGATGTGTCAGCACATTATGCAACACCCCCCGGGGAGCCGGGATGGTGCTCACAATTATTGACGAAGGGCAGCCCTTGTCAACTTTTATCTCTGCTTCCCCGACCCAGGCTCCGGTACCACAGAGAACCCAGGGAGTGATCACCCCTGCACAGCAGTCGGCTCGCAAGGCCATCTCCCAGCCTGCGTGAAAGGAGAGGCCAAGACAGGAAGACAGGTTCACAGAGGGACCGACCTCGGTCAGGAGCAAAACTGGGACTGGAACCTGGCTCTTCTGAGCCCAGGGCCAGAAACCGTCACAGCCCCCTTTGCTGTTTCACAGAGCTCCAGCCAAGAGATAATTATTATTAAAAAAAAAAAAAGAAGAAGAAGAAAAGAAAAAAAAAAGGAAACAAAACACAAAATTGCACATTGCGATTGTGCCTGCCTGCCCCAGGCTTCAAATCACCTCCCTGGCCACTGGGAGAGAGTTCCGTCTGGCAAGGGGGTAGGAGGGCATGACAGGGGAGGGAGGACATGGGGCAGGCAGGCAAGTGCCCCCGGGCCTGGGGTAGATACGGCGAGGTCCAGCGCAGCACGGCCGAGGGAGGTCAGGAACCAGGGGATGGCCCGCAGCAGGTACTCGGGCCTCCGGTCATGGGCCACAATGGCTGAAGCGTACAGGAGGCCAGCCAGGGCCGACAGGAGCCGGGTCCACAGGTAGATGGAGGAGAACGTCTTACCCCGGCACTGGGCACACAGAGGAGAGAGCTGGGCAGGGAGGAACACTGCCGCCACCCCCAGCTGCCTTAGAGCTAAGACTCAGGGTCCTGGTGGCATAGCAGATGGGAGGGCAAACCCTCTACCTGTGACAAGTCCGCCAGGGTGCACTTATCTTCCTGCCAAGGGGCCACCAGGCTTGAACGCCTTTAGTGATGGGGAGCCAACTATTTCCAAATGTAGGAATAACAATATATTGATTGCTCTCAACATGCCAGGGACTGCGCACAGTGTCTCCCAGGGTGTCCAACCAGTGGCCCATGGGCTGCATGCGGCCCAGGATGGCTATGAATGTGGTTCAATGCAAAAGTCATACATTTACTTAAAACATGAGATTGTTTTTGTTATTCTGTGTCTCAATGCATTTAACGTGTGGCCCAAGAGAGCTGCCCACCAAAAGACTGGATACCCCTGAACCCATGAATGGGAAGTGGCTTTCCCCTAACCTTTTCCCAGTGTGTTTCTCCAAGACAGCAGAGAACGAGGCTGCTCTTTCTGTCCCAAGACAGCCCTCCTGATTCCTACACCCATGAGCTTCCTTTTTTTCCAGGCCAGGTCAAGTCACCCATGAACCAGTGTTTGCTGGCACCTACAGGCCCCAAGCACCTCGAACACAATGCGGAATACAACAGACACGCCCACTGCTCTCATGGGGCTGATGTTCTTCTATCCTGTTACCAACGTAACAACTTGGTAAATAACGGAAGGAGCTAATTTCAGGGTGTGACGAATGCTGTGAAGAAAATGAAGCAGAGTGAGGGACTCAGTGGTGGCGCGGGCCTGGCTTGTTTTAGGTGGGGTGGTGTCCTGGGTTGAATTGTGTCCCCCACCAAAAATGGGAAAGTCCCAACCGCAGAGCCTGCGAGCGTGACCTTAGTTAGAGACAAGGTCTTTGCAGATGATCAAGTTAAGATGAGATCAGTAGGGTGGGCCCGAATCTAATAGGATTATGTCCTTATAAAAAGGAGAAAGTTGGGCACAGACACATACAAAGGGAAGGTCTTGTGAAAACACCCAAACAGGGAGCCTGCCACATGGACACTGGCATCATGCTGCCACCAGCGAAGGAACTTCCAGAAGCTTGGAGAGTGGCCTGGAACAGACCCTTCCCTTGCACCTTCAGAGGGAGTGTGGCCCTGCTGACACCTTGATATTGGACTTTTGATCTCCAGGACTTTGAGACAATACATTTCTGTTGTTCGAGGTCTGTGATACTTTGTTATGGCAGCGCTAGGAACTAAGACAGGTGGTCAGAGCACTGCACCAGTTTCTTCTAAGCCCTTCATGTGACACAGTTTCCCAGCCCCACGCCACCCTGGAGACCGTCCCAGGGGTCGCTGAAGGCAGAGCAGTGCTTCTTACTCGACCTTCCCTTGGTCTGAAGACAGTAGCTTTGTGATGAGGCCCTGTGTCCCGTGAGGTTTCTGGCCATCACAGCACAGGCTACAGCTTCCCACAAATGATCAACTGAGCACCTGACATTCTCAAATCCTGTTCTGGAACTGTCATTAAATGATGCTCTTTAACAAGTGATTTCTTTTTTAGACACAACGATAGGCCCATTATGTTTCTGGAATTAGGCTTGGCCATTATTCCTTCAGCAAGACCCCCCTGGGAGAGCGTGTGTGTGTGTGCGTCCACAAAATCTTGCTCTTTATTGCTTTGGAGGCTTTTCTGTGCGCTCTCCTCCCTCCCTTGCCTCTGCCTCTTTAAATCCCACCTTCCCTTCCAAGCGACCTGAGGCCTCCCCAGTGCTCCCTGGCCTGGCAGTGTGAACAGTTTTCAGCCTCAGTCATCTGAATAGTGCAGGAGCCTTCTCTCCAGCTTCTGAAACCCCACACATTTGATGTGATATTTCTTAGAGCATTAAATCATCCTGCTTTGCATTTCTGCATTTTCTGTGAGACCGCGAGCTTCCCAAGGGCAAGCACAGTGTCCCCAGTCATATCTGTATTCCCCTGGGGCTGGCCAACACAGGCCTTCCCTCGCCCCAGATGCCTGGAAGATATCTGTCAGTAAGATGCTCTCAAATACACAGAACCCCAGTAGCTCCATGATTCTATCCTCTAAAATCTTCTCACTCCCTAATGGGATATTTGCTGGTCCAACCCTAGTGGCTTTTCCCCGAGAGCCTGCTTTTCATTTGCTATAAGAAACAGAGAGAATGCAGTGGGCTCTCCAGTGAGAGGCCTCAGGACACTTCTGCTACCTACACAGCCCCACCCCCACACGCCTGGGGCGATGCCCCGTGTGCTGGTGACCTGGAGCTTTGACAATGCTCCCAGATGCCCTGCCACGGTGACCCACCATCCCAGCCCCAATCCCAGCCTCACGATTCTGGAGAGTAAGGGGATCCGGGAAGCCCAGGAGCCGAAGGCAGCGATGCCACCCAGCAAGTAGCCAAAAATCTCAGTGTTGTCCTGCAGGAAAAGGTGTTACTCTCAGCACCCTGAAGAGACCAGTGTGCACCCCGGACCCGTCCTCTTCTGCTTTTAGTAGGTTCCTCCCAACAAAGGCTAACCCTGCCTACCCGCACCCCTGAGGCTTTTGTTGCGACCCTGAGGAGGGCAGGGACCTTCACCCGCCACGTGCCCCGAGCTAGCTCAGCCTCACCTGCAGCAGGCTTCCCAGCAGCCTCCGCTGTGGCCCTTGGACAAGGCCTGAAGCCTTTGGCACAGCAGCCCAGAGAGCCCAGCAGGGGCCCAGGCTCAGCGGCAGGGTCAGGGCGAATATGCTGGCCGTGAGCCGCTGCCTCCTCTTCCTCTCCTGGGATCTGGGACCTGCAACAGACGCCAAAATCCCACACAGTTCCTGGGAACCTGACAGGCTGGGAAGAACTGGTGTTGACCGAGCCCCGACGCCAGGACAGGTTCCCACGTTGTTCTCCTGGCCAGATCCTCCCAGCCCTTCAAGGCCCTACGGTTGCGCCACCTCTGCGAAGAAGTCTTTCCTCTCCCCCACCCGCCTCACACACGACTGCTGCTCTCTCCTTCCCTGGCCCTCCTATAACATTTATGCTCAAGGCGGGATGACATTTTCCTTATCAGATATGTGCATCTACCTGCACAGGATCGCTTCTCCTCGGCTGGAACCCTCTGAGGGCAGGCACTGTGCCCTGGCGGTTCGTACAATCACTTCAGAGACTGGCACGGAGCAGACCTGGCACAAGCCTGGTGAAGGCGTCAATGAGTGACCATGTCTGTGCCAGGACACAAACTGAGCGGGACAAGGAGCGTCATCTTTGAAAGTCCCCTTGAAGTATAATATACTCTTCTGAACAATCCTAAGAACATTTCTCCCCTGGGCAGTGCTGAGCAGCTGAGGGAATCTTATATTACCCCACTGATGCAGGCATTTGCTTTTTGGACAAGAATCCAAGCACATCGCTGCCCCTTCTTGGGAACGCTCCAGTCACACATACTTGACTACCCATCCCATCTCAGTTGTTTAGAGCCCCACCCCCCGCGCTGCCTGGCGTGGCCCATGCCCATTCCTGGCAACCATTTCTGGAAGCTGCAGGGCTTTACTCCTCCCCGCCCCGGGACTTGCACACTGAGATATCACTGTTCACCCCCAAAGCCAGACACCATCTCTCTTCCTGGCCTTTGCTCACACTGAGACTCTTGCCTGGAATGTTCTTCCCAGCAGTCCCAGTTCCAACGTCACCTCCTTCCCTGACACCTGCAGCCCCTTGCCTCCCTCTGGTGCCCGCAGCAGGCGTGCACACACCTCCTCACTAGCAGCTCTAAAGATTGCTTAGGGCCCTGCCTCCCTCCTCTGGCTTGTTCATTTGTCTGTGCCTGGCAGGGGGCCAGCTGGGCGGGAGGAGGCGTAGGCACTCCGTGTGCTGATGAATGAGAGCTTGAATGGAGACAGGAACAGATGGCCACACACTCACCCGAATTAGACTTGAATTTGGAGCCGCAGACGGGGAAAAGAATGAACACAAAGTTCATCAAGTCAACAGCTGCCAGGTAGGCACCCGTGAATACCTGGGAGCAAATGGAGATAGTCTTAGTGTTCAAATATTTTTCAGCAACTACAGCACCTCTCATCCTGGATCTCATCTACCACATGTGGTCCACTGACTAGTGCTCCCAGCGATGCCTCCCAACACCAAGAAAGGTCGAGATCACCTCCATTTGACTGATAAAGGAGGCACGGTGGGTGCTTAAATGATTAATCTTAAGCAGTGAACCTGCCCATCCGTAGAGATGGACCGGGAACCCAGCCCTCCGCTTCCTATTCCACTCTCTCCACCGCATGGTGTAATCTCCGCTGTGTACCTTTGGCCCAGCCACTGACCTCTGGGCCTCAGTTTCCTCACCTGCAAAACAGGGAGAATAACAGTAGCTCCCTCACCATGTAAGCAGATTATGTGAGCCAGTATGTGGAAAGTGCTGAGTGCATCCCCTGGAAGAGTGCTCCCACTTATAAATGCACTAGCTTCTGAGACGGTATGGTTAGTGCTAGATATCTTCATTCTGGGGTTTGACTCTTGGCACAGCAACCCACTAGATGGTGACCTTACAGAAGTTATTTAACCTCTCTGTGCATCAGTTTCCTCATGCGTAAAACAGGGATAAGAGCTCTCCTGTCATAGAATGATCTGAGAGTCAAATGAGTTAATACACAAAAAGCCCTCAGTGCTAACTACAGAGTGAAGTATTTAATAAATGTCAGCTATTATTATTGGACTTGAGCTGGGCCTCATTGTTTTCCATCACCTAATGAGAATGGGACCCGAAATGGAAGGTGATCTGTGTCTGAGGCAATACTGCTCAAAGCAGGGTCAAGGATTCTCCCGGGCTGTATCTCGATTACTAAGCTGCCCTCCTTCATGTCCAGCGGGGTGCGTGAAAGGTCAGGAGCAGCCCTATGAGGTGGCCTTGCAGGGGAGCCCACAGGTTTTCCTTTGGATAGGCCCCTCTTATAGAGGTTTGTTGGAGAGCCTAGACTTTGGCTTCTCATCACCACCTGGGAAAGATTCAAGCACCCCTGCATGAGGTGGGGCTGGGCCCCGGCTCTAAAAACAATAGCACCCACGGTCCCTATTTATTGAGCACCTACTATGTGCCAGCTGCTGTTTTAAGTGATGGGGATACAGTAGTGAGTACAAATTTTTGCCCTTGTGGAGCTCACATTCTAGTAGGGGTTAAACACAATAAGCAATACACACACTAAGTAAGTAAAGCATATAGCGTACTGGGGGTAAGCGATGGAATAAAGACAAAGAGGATGAGGGTGTCTGCGGTGGGGGTGAAGGGCGGTCAGGGGAGGCCTCACTGAGAAAGCAGCTTCTGAGCTACGAGTGGAAGGAGGCGCTCAGGGAGCCACGCAGCTTCCCGACAAGAGCGCTGGAGCGGGGTCAAAACACCACTGAGATCACGAGCCCTGAGGCCAGCTGCGCCTCGCAGGGTGGAGGCGCAAGACAGAAGCCACGGTCACCTACAAGCCTGGGCACACCTGGATCGTGAGCTGTCTGGCCAGAATGGCCCCGACCGTGTCACACAGGCTGGTCAAGAGGCAGCACGCAGCACAAAGCGCCGACTGGTCGTGTCCGGATCTCTTTGCACATCTTAGATAGAGGAGCCTGTCGGGTGTGGACAAAACATGGGAACTGTAAGTCTGGGCTCCCAGAGCATGTGGCTGAGAAAGCCAACAGTGACTGTGTGTCCTTATGAAGCACCCTCTCCCCCAAGTATTCAGTAGTGTTTTTGAACTAAACTTACAGATTAAAAAAGAAAGGCTCAAACAGCTCCCAGACCCACATCTCTAGTGAAGAGGAATTTCTTCCTTCATACAAATCTGGCCAACTCAAGTTCATGATGACCTTTCAGTGCTGATTAACTAGCTGTCAGGTTTCATTTCATGAAAGGAAGCAGGAGGGTTATAAAAGTAACCCAATCACTGCAGTTTGCTACAGAGCAGAACTAATTGCCTAAATTTAAAAAAGCAACTTGTTTCTTTGAAATTAAAGTGAAATCCTTCTAATCCATCTGTGTAATGAAGTGGCCAGGCGTCTGCCGGCCCACATCCAAATAGATTTCACTCTGGGTACACGTTCTTTACACAGAGGGTTAGCAAAACTCCTAGAAGATGCCATGGAACTTTGGGCTAACCTCTCCCTACGGCCCCTTCCACAACCTTCTGGGTTATCTCCCTTACTGCCTCCACCCCCTACACCCTACACAAGCTCAGAAAGGCAGAACATGCTGGAAGGGGCTAGAGGTCTCTCTGTCAGCGTCACTGATTTGATCTCGGGAACACTTTGTTTTAGGTGTTTCCCCGCTCCATTTCTATGGAGAAACCAAGGCACAATTGCAACTCTGGTTTCATTTCTTCATCCTTAGGGCTCACAGGGTGGTACTTACGCCACATCCTGAGGACCATGTGGCTGGAAATAATGGATGAGGATGGAAGATATTAGGTTCCCAAATATCCCCTGACCTGCCAGGGGAAGCCTGAAGCTCACAGTAGAAAGGTCAACCTTTAACTTGGTCCCGGGGTTCCTGAAGTGGATTCAAAGTCTAGGATTGAAGACTCTGAATTAGAAACTCTCTGAGGTAGACTCAGATTAGAGATACCTGGTTTCAAACCTCCCATTTGAAAGTGGAGAAGACTGAGGCTTACGGTGAAAGGAGAGTTAACGGTGGGACTTCTAGCTTCATGGAGGCTTCATTCTGTATGTACCCTGCTGCTATGTAGCCTTTTCCAGCTCTCAGGGGTTAGGGATGCTGGGCTGACACCAACCCAGCTCACACACAGCTTGGAGGAGATACACTCCCTAAAAGTGAATGAAGTTTCAGGGAAGGTGAAGTCCTAAAAACAGTGTGTCCAGACCTGAGAGAGGCGAGAAAGCAGCCTGTGCTCTCAGACTGACTGGTTGGGCATTCCCGAAAATTACTTATCCTCACCAAACCTTGGTTTCCAGGTTGGTAAAATGTCTACTAACGCAGACCTCGGAGGGTGGCTATGAAGAACAAATGACATATGCATGCAAAGTGCCTCCGTGGTTTCCATCCTCTGGTCTGGCTAGTTTAATCCTCACAGGCCTGCCCTTTTCTAATAGGATCTGCGGTTTCAGTTCTTTCCATTCACTCTGGCAAGTTAGTTACCCTCTCAGAATCTGGGGTCTCCTGATCTAAATGGGGGTAATTACAGTCTCTACCTCCTGGGGCTGCGGCAGGAATTAAATGAGTTAATGAATGCAACGCTAGCGTCTTTTTAGTCCTATTCCAGTGACTGAGCAGTGAGGCTGAGAATCTGTAACGCTATGAAACGTCTCGGGGGACATCCGCGGGGTGCGGAAGGTGAGGCAGTGCCAGCCTCCTGGGGATGCTAGTCCTTTCTCCTCTGCCCGCATACACTTGGGTGGCGTGATCCCCCCAGCTTGGGACAGGGTGGCTGAAGACCGGGAGGCCATTTTTAGCCAGACTTCACCCGTAGAACCCAGGTGCTGGTGACTCCTTGACCACACGGCTCCAGGTGCTGAAAGACCAGGGCAAACTCTGCTGCCAGAGTGAGAGCATCCCTCCCCCATCTCCCAGCTAAGAGGGCCTGGGAAATGGAGGCCAGAAACGTCAAGATACTTGTTCAAGGTCCTTGCCCTCTGCCAAGGGTTGGCGGCAGAGCTGGAGTAATAGTAATGTTTAAAGAGCACTTAACTAAGTGCTTTATCGGTGCTAACTTTTAATCCTCCTTTCAGTCCTATGAGTTATGATGTCCATTTACGTGAGGAAAACAGGGCCCGGAGGATTTACAGCTTGCCCGGCTCACACCTCCAGTCCATGGGGAAAGGGGGACAATAGAACCCAGGACTGGCGGCCTCTCGTCCAGGTCCTGCCCAGTATACCACCCAGCCTCCTCCTCTGGCCCACAGCCTAGCCTCCCTGCGCGTGTTATCCGGAAAGAAGTATCCGACTTCAGTCTACCGCGAAATGTTAGTTTCGATCCTGGAACTGTGCTGCCTCCTGCAACCTCCCTTTCTGCCCCCTTCCCTCTAGGTTTCCAACAGGGAACTGGGGCGCCAGGAGAGTGGTGAGGGGAAGCGTCCCGTTCCCCGCCGCCCCCGGCAGCCGACCCGCCCCCACCCTGGCGCCGCCAGGTCCCGGTCCCCATTACAGTGCGTGGGCGGCGACCCAGCAGCAGCAGGCGCAGATCCACAGGCCGAAGGAGATGCAGACACGGTGGTGGGCGAAGCAGCGGTCCAGATAGTCCCAGTCCCAAAGCGCGGGCGCGGGCGCGGGGCTGGGTGCCTCCTCCATGGCAGGCTCGGCTCCGCCGGTCCAGCGCCGGAGCCTCGCGCGCGGCCGGGGACCCGCGCACAGCCTCCCGGGCCGCAGGCAGCCCCGGGCGCTGCCGCCCCTCGCCCCTTCTCTGGGTTAGGTTCCGCTTGCCCTCTGCGGTGGCCCCGCGGAGCGCCCCGACCGCGGGCAGGAAGAGGACACGTCCCGCTCTGCGCTCCCGGGAGCTGTCGGCGGCAGCCAAGACTCGAGGTTAAAGTTTCCGGGACCGGGCGGCTCCCCACCCCTCGTGCTATTGTCGGGGGTCCGCGGGCCGGAGGCCGCCCCCCAGCGGCGGGAGCCGGGAGCAGCCTCCGCACAAAGGCTGCGGCCCCCGCCCCCTGACAGCCATCGCGGCGTCGCTCCGGCGGACCCCCTCGCTGTCACCCATCACGCCAGCCCCCACCCCGAACCCGCGGAGTGAGCGGAAAGCAGTGACCTGCTGGGTCACCGTAAGGCGCTTTGTCGGTTCATCAAGCCGCCACATTTTCTAGGCCAAACAATGCACCCTGCGTGCCTGGCGAGGCGCTTGGCCGCCGAGGATGCCGAGGAGAGTGGAGCCTGGCACTGAGGTTAAAAGTGTACAATACGAAGGTGTGGTGGGAGGCCGGCAGGTAGGAGACAAACGCGCTGGTGAGCAAATGCCTCTCTGTCTTCTCTCCCTCTTTTCTGAAGGTGGAATGGCAGCCTGCGCCCCGCTCAGTTGCCCAAGCCGGGCTTCCTAGACGGCGACGCAGCAGCCACGCGCCCTTCCCCGCGGCTACACCCCCGCACGAGGTACGCAGGGCTGTTTTCCTTTATAACAAGCTATTATCATAATGTTTAAATTTCCTGTTGATTTTAGTAAGTTTTCTTAAAGAAGAGCATGCCTGTATAATTTTTTTATTTGTAAAAATTGCAGCTTTATGGCGAGCTTCTTCATATACCATAAAATTCACCCTTCTATTTAGTTTTTAAAAAGATATTTATTTATTGTTTAGAGAGAAGGGAAGGGAGGGAGAAAGAGGGAGAGAAACATCGTTTGGTTGCCTCCCGCACTCAGCTGGCGACCTGGCCTTACCACAGGCTTGTGCCCCGAACTGGAATCCAGGTGGCGACCCCTCTGATCTGTGGGATGACGCCCAACCCACGGAGCCACTCCAGTCAGAGCGAAGGATGCCTTTGTATCACAACCATTTTCAACATTGTTTGGAAGTTGTTGTCCAGAGTTACTGTAACTTTGATCCCTGAAAACAGGTTTTACAAGCTGTGGTGACTGTAGAATTTCTAGCTAGGAAAGGCTAAAAGGACGTGCGCTTGTGGGACAGGGATATTTGAGGCTGGGACTGCTGTTGTTCTGTGGTACATTAATGGCTGTTTTCTGGGATACTAGTACAGTAGTGATACAAGGTTAAATAAGTTTAACTAGGTTTCTTTACTATATAGCATTGAATGCTCTCAAGTATGTAACTTGTGAACCTATGAGAGGAAGATAAAGTACCTAGCATTTTCCAAATTCATGGTACACGAGGGGTCTGTGGACCATGGACTAGGCAACACCGTTGTGGGGCATACAGTGAGGAAAGAACTAACAAGAAAAACAAACAAAAAAGAGCTACAAGTTTATTTACAAAAATAAATCATTTTCAGATGGTGTGATTATTTCTTTATGAAATTTAAGAAAACTAGTTAAAGAACTATATGGCCAGCTACAACATTAATAGTTCTACAGTATATCAACAAAACCAGTTAAAAATAAAGAAAATATCATATTTAAATACTATTAAAAATATAAAGTTCCTAGCAATAAAATTAATACGAAATGTACTTAATCTATATGAAGAAAACCAAAGCCCTGGCCAGGTGGCTCAGTTAGTTGGAGCATCATCTCTGTAAACCAAAAGGTCGCCAGCTTGACCTGGTCACATATCCAGGTCTCTGCTTCAATCCCCACTCAGTGCACCAACGAGAGGCAACCAACTGATGTCTCCTCCTCACACCGATGCCTCTTTCCCTCTCTCCCTCCTGCATCTCTCTCTTCCTCCCTAAACACAGCCTCAGGTGAGGATTAAAATTTTTTTTTTAAAAAACCCCAAAAAGTGTTAGTTCTTGAAGAACAGAAAAGAGCAAATGAGAAGCATTCTCAACGCTGTAGTGAAGATGTTAATTTCCTCAAATAAAATTCATCCTTTTAAAGTATACAATTCAGTGGCTTTCAGTATATCCATGAAGTTGTGTGACCACTGCTATTATCTAATTTTAGAATGTTTTCCTCACCTGCCAAAAAACCCCAGGACCATGAGCAGTTACTGCCCACTCCCTTTAGCATTCCCAGCCCTGGGCAACCACAAATCTGCATCTATTTCTATGAATTTATTTATGCTGGACGTTCCTTATAAGTGGAATTTATCCAACAGGTCACCTTTCTGTGACTGACTTCCTTCACCGAGCATTAATTGTTGAAGATTCATCTATGTTGCAGCTTATATCAGCACTTCATTTCTTTTTATGTCTGAATAATAATTCATTCTATGGAGTTAGCACATTTTACTTACTATTTATGAGTTGATGGACATTCAGGTTGTTTTCATTTTTTGGCTATTACGAATAGTGCTGCTGTGAACATTCATATACAAGTCTTTGTGTGGACCTAGGTTTTCAATTATCTTGGGCATATACCTAGGAGTGAAATTGCTGGGTCCCATGGTAACTCTGTTTAAGGTTTTGAGGAACTGCCTGACTGTTTTCTAAAGTGGCTATACTATTTTACTGGCTTACTGATTTTTAAAACTTATGACCACTTACAGGAGAAATGAAACACTCTATGTCATGTAGTGTGCTGTGAACTGGGGACACATTGTTGAGAAAAATAGACAAGGTCCCTATCTTTGTGGAGCTTACAGTTAGTTCAGTGGAGGAGACAGACAGATTAAATAAGCAATCAATCAAAGGTAAAATTAAAATGTTATTAAACAAAAGGGGCCAAAATTAAAATGATAAAATGATTATGATTAAGTGATATAAAATGAATGTCAACTAAGACAAGATTAAAGCGTTCAATTAAAAGGAAAAAAAAATATAACCCAAGTTTCTCATAGTCTATAAAAAGTAAATACCCACAGCCCGAAATCCCTGTCCTCTGGAATTCACACTCTACCTCCTGGCAGCTGTGACTTGTGTCAAAGCACCGGCCCTCTCTGCACTTGGGTATTCCTACCCCTAAAGTGAGGATGATAGTACCCTACCTTAGAGTTACTGTGATTATTAGAAAGCTTGCAGATAGAGCACCTGGCACATGTCATTAGGAGAAATTACTATTGTTATTGCCTTTCCTAGCAAGAGCCTTAGAGCCACTAAAAAAGAAAATGGTTCAAAAAACAAAAACAAACAAACAAAAAAACCAGAACGTGAAGAGAAAGGTCAGCTAATGGTGAAGACACAGAGCTCAGTTGTTGGTTCTCTTCTCTCCTCTACCAGGTGCCAGAAGTATCTGGTCTTCTGGCTTTAAATACTATCCCTGTCCCTGTGTCTCCCAAATGAGTATCTCCCAGGTCAGACCCTGCCCCCCGCTCCCCGCCCCCAAACTTTAGACTCACATGTGCAGCTGCTTACTCGACATCTTTAGTGTGTCTGACTGAACATGTTTAAAATCAAACTTGTAATTTTTCCTTCCCAAAGCTATTCCACCAACAGCTTCCCCTCTGCAGGCTGACTGGGTGTCCTGGTCCTGTGGGGACACAAGCCCCTGTGCCCACGCGCCTCCTCTGTTAGGACACCTCTCCAGTTGTGGCAAGCATTGTCTTTCTACCAGGCTGTGAGCATCCTGCAACCAGAGTTGTTTAGTTTGTACCTGTGTCCTCAACTCCTAGCTCAGTGCCTGATATATAATAAGACAATATTTACTGAATGAATAAGCTGATTTTTAAAGTTAATATAAATCTGTTATGTACTATAGCAGGAGCATGTTTACAATGCTTGGTGACACCTAACATTGTGTGTGTGGGTGTGTTGGGGAAGGCTTTTGAGAGATGCAGGATCTGGAATTTGGAGAATGGTTACTTTTGGCAAGGAGGCCGTGGCACCAGTCCTGCCAAGGGCCTCCTGGAGGCAGGAAGAGCGTGGCCTGTGGCCACCAGCAAACAGCAGAGGGTAGGAGATGAGGTGAGAGAGGCAGTCTGCAGCTCAGGCACGAGGCTACCTGGACTTCACCCTGCAGGGAATGCTAGGATTAGGTATCGTAACCAGCTGCCTCCCTGACATGAGGACCCCTCCCAAATCGTCCCAGGGCTTTCCAGAGGGCTCTCCGCAGGGTCGGTTGTCAGGAAGCGAATCAGTTCCTTTACCAGGCTCTCTCGAGGTCTGGCAGCTGCCCCGCCCAGAAGCTCATTTCTTTTGGCCAAGGCCATGAGATTGCTGAAAAGAAAAACTAACAAGCGGATCATAACACATGTTCTCCCCCCCAAATAGGCATTTCCTGCTGGCAGAGGCACCGCGCCCATGGGCATTGTCCTGACGGAGGGTGGGCTGCGGCAATGTGGGCCGTGCCGTGAGTGGGCAGCCAGCCCTGGCCATGACTCCCAGCCACCTAGCGGGACAGAGCCCAGCAGCTCAACAGCTTTCCCTTCTGAGGACATGTTGCCTTCTGCCAATGTTCGTGTAAAATGCGTTACTCACAGGAAGGGCTCGTGGCTACTCCTCAAACAATGACATTAAAGAAACTCCCATCCGTTTGATTTACCTGCTATAAATGTAGAGAAGTCAATTCTAAGAGAACCCATTTTGAAATAATGGCATTTTCAAATCTTAATCCTATTGTAGACATGCTGCAGTGTCATGATTATAGTAGGTGGTAGGACTGACTACTGGGGTCCTGGGTTTGTTTAAAAGTCTGTCATCTGGCCCTGGTCAGTGTAGCCCAGGTGGATGGAGTTACTGTTCAGTAACGTAAGGGTTGTGAGTTCAATTCCTGGTCAGGGCACGTACCTAGGTTGTGGGTTCCGTCCCTGGTCTTCTGGGTGTGTGTGGGAGGCAATCGATCAATGCTTCTCTCTTGCATGGATGTCTCTCTCTCCCTTCCCCTCTCTCTAAAAATGATGAGGGGAAAAAAAGGTCCTTGGATGAGAATTAAAAAAAATTAAAACGGTCATCAACACAGTGCAAGCTCAGCAAGACCTAATGGACCTAGCAGATGTACCACGGAAATCCCTCCCTTTTTAAAGAGGTAATTCTCAATGAATGCTGACTAATAGCAAGACAACTTCCCATTTAAAGAGCCAATTAAGTAGAATGCAGTTCTTGAACATTTGCATTGAAATAATTATTGAAAAGAAATGTACGTTCTCACTGCAGTTTATACTCAGCAAGAGACCAGCATCCTACCAAGTTCCTCCAGGCCAGTGTGGCAGCTGGATGAGCCCACTTTCCGCAGGTCAGCAAAGGCAGAGGGAAGACAGAAGCTAGTTTCTGTTCATTATGGTCACTATGGGATTCTAGTCTCCCAGTACAATTCTGTCTGTTCTGAATGACTGAGCCCTTGTGATAATGTCTAACTCTCTTATGAGCTCACACTCCCCATTTTTTTTATTTTGAAAAATTTCAAAACCACAGAAAAGGTGGAATTGGAACTCACCAATTGAACACAACAGACAAATAGTGGAGATTATTAAGGGTGGAAATTTTGAATGCATTTCCTTGCTTCTCCACAAAGACTGAAGAGGGGGACAGGCTATGGAAACAAAGTGGCGGTTAAGTAAATTGCTGGCTTGCTGCCAAATTTTCCACTTTACCCACCAAGAAAATATGTTGCCATTGGCTTCCTGACAAAACTTCAACTCCCATCTAATTTCCTAAAATGTTAATAGGTGACAGATACATAGCAGATTATACTTTAAGTGGGTGGTACATGCCTTGTAATTAAAGTGCTGGGGGGAAAATGTCAAAACAATAAAGTAATAATTGCAATTTTTAAGTTGAAAGTACTATGCTCAACAAGGGTGGGAATACTTTAAAAAAATTGCAAAGGATGTTAACAAAATATCCTGGGTAGAAGCAAAGGTGGTAATAAAAGTTTTCCTTTCAGGTGTCCTCGTTTGGGTTCCTCAGACTCTAAGCAAAGGACTTTGGTTCAGTTAGTTAATTTAGGAGATAGTTCCATGAATTAGAAGCGAGGGAGTGGAGAAAATGAGACAGGGATGGGAGAAAGGCAGCAAAGGGGGAGTTAACGAGATAGTTTTAGCTGAGGGCAAGTGGAGCTCAGTTCCACTTCGGATCTGGTGAGGATCATGTAGAATGTATGCACTGAGTGATGGGGAAGCTGGGGTACTTACTAAACCAGCCCCCATTCCCGTTTGGGGGGTGCTCTGCAGGAGTTAATTCCCAGCCCTTGTAGACAGCCCTATGTGCAGGCTGAGCAAGTTTCCGTGGGGCAGGAAAGCAGAAAACAGAGGGCTTGTGTTGGGAAGCTGTCAACAGGGCTGCAGGTGAACTGAAGTGGGCTAAGGGATGTGGGGTTGGGTGGGCCATCTACACAGACATCTCTTACCAGTAACGGTTGTTAGATGCTCCTCTCAATTGTTCCACATTCATGCATGTTAAATAGCAAAGGTACACACCCAGAAATAAGCCCTCACATTTACATTAGATTTTCCATAAGAGTACCAAACAATTTAGTGGGGAAAGACTAGTCTTTTTAACAAAGTGTTGGACTACTGGATATCCACAAGCAAAAGAATGAAGTCGGTCCATTACCCTACCTTACACCATATACAAAAATTAACTCAAAATGGATCAGAGACCTAAATTATGATGTAAAGCTATAAAACTCTTAGAAGAAAATACAGGGGTAAATCTTAGTAATCTTGGATGTGGCAATCATTTTAAAAATATAACAATAAGGAACCAAATTAAAAACAGATGAACTTGGACTTCATCAACATTAAAAATGTGCTTCAAAGGACATTATCAAGAAAATGAAAAGACAATCCACTGAATGGCAGAAATTTGCAAATTATATATTTGATAAGGGACTTGTATCTAGCATGTATGTACTTTTGCAACTCAGTAATAAAGACAAATAACCCAGTTAAAAAATGGGCAAAGGATCTGAGTAGACCTGTCTCCAAAGATATATGTGCAAGTGGCCTGCAAGAACATGAAAAGACACTCAACATCATTAATCATCAAGGGAATGCAAATCAAAACCACAATGAAGTACCACTTCCTACCGACTAGGATGGCTAAAACAAAGGACAGTAAGTAACAAGGATGTGGAGAAATTAGAACCCAATACATTACTGTTGGGAAATGTATAATGGTGCAGCCACTTTGGAAAACAGTCTGGCAGCTGCTCAAAAGGTTAAATATATAGCAATTCCAGTGACCCAACAGTTCTACTCCTAGATGTATACCCAAGAATGAAAAACCTGTGCCCACACAAAAACCTTGTACATAAATGTTTACAGCAGCATTATTCATAATAACTAAAGTGGAAACCCAAATATTTATTAACTGATAAATGGATAAGCAAATATGTGGTATGTACATACAATGTAATATTCACCAATAAAAAGGAATAAAATACTGATAGATGTTATAACTCAGATAAACCTTGAAGATGTTAGATTAAGTGAAAGCTAGTCACAGGTCACACAGTGTGACTCCGTTTATCAAATGTGTAGAATAGGCAACTCTATGCAAATTAGATGAATGGTTGCTTAGGGCTGGGAGGATGAGAGGACTGGGGACTTAGTACTAAAGGGTATTGGATTTTTTGGGGTGATAGGGTAAAATTGATTGTGGTGATGGTTGTACAACTCTGTGGATACACTTAAAGCCACTAGATTGTACATGTTAAATTGGTGAATTTGCACCATATGTGAACTCTCTCAATAAACCTGTTCCAAGAATAAGCACGGTTTTTTCCTAAAAGGCCTCGTTTTAGCTATTACATTGTCCTTAGAACAAAACATTGAGCACATGCTTTGTCCACTCCATAGCAGTTTCTGCTGTATGCCTACGTCTGTCTGTTCTTCAATAAATGGAACTAAGTACATTTTCACGTGCCAATGCTTTTTCTTCTATCATGAGCTTTTAAGATGGTCTCACTTCTCTCAGGTGAAAGGGAATGGCTGGGCACGGATTGTTACAGAGAGAGGAACACAAGTTTAGAACATTTTCAGCTTTGCTTTTTCTAGGTCTGCCTCAGCCTTGATCTGGAATAACCGTTCACCTTCTGTTTAAATGTGTTAGAACACATCTCATGCCTCACTCGCATACACCGTCCCTTGGCTCGCAGGCTGCTTTGGAGAGCACACCCCGAGTGCCTTCACAGGCTCCAGGGCCCCGTGTGGCCTGGCTCTTGCTGTGTTCCATCCTGCGGTCTCCTTCCTGCTCCAGGGCCCTACCCCACTGCTGTCATTTTTGGGATCACTGTTCTTGTCACATGGTAGTCAATAAATATTGGTTAAATAAATGTAATTTTGTCACTCCCCAGATATAACACATTTTCAAATCTTTTTAAAATTGAACTTATTGGGGGTGACATGGGTTCACAAAACCATACAGGTTTCAAGTGTACAACTCATCAGCTGCAGTGTTGTGTGCCCACTGCCCCACGTGGTTTTTTCATCCACATTTCCTGCCCCCCCGCCCACTTTTACCTACCTTACCCCCCCTTTCAAGGCAAGGCTTAACTGTGGACTCATGGGTGAATTTTGGAGGGAGCCTGTATATCTTCTGCATTTTGCAAAACTGTGGATATGGGAATGTGCATTTTTCTAGAGAAAGCGGCCATAACTTCCATTAGTTTTCCAAAAACATCTATGACCGAAAACAAGGCAATTATCTGAAGAGAAAGTTTCAGAGAAAAAGGGAGACAAAGGTAAAGAAGTCAGAGGCTTAAACAGCCAGTGTTTTATAAATGTATTAGAATGAGTATGACTGTAAAAGGTTTTACTCTTAATGGTCTAAGTACTAAGAAAGTACTAAGGACATAAGGGATCCCTATGCCTAAAATAAAAAGCCGATTGCCTCTTTCCTCACTCCCTGTGGGTTAGCTATAGAAAAACATATGCCAGCCCCCCATTCCAAGAGCTGATATGCCTTCTGCCCTACCAGGGGTGTGCCGAGTCTGTGTGAGGTTGAGAATCATTAATCTAAATAATGTGCTCAAAAGAATCCATCTAAAACCCGTCAGGTTTTAGCAAATTAAAACTGTTTATAAAGAATGCAGAATATCCAAATGGCAGTGTATCTACATAAACCAATAAGGCATTAGTGACAATTTTATTACCGTTTTAAAAAATACCCAACTTACAAATTAGTATACATTTGTGTGTATGTTTATACAAACAAATACACATCCAGAAATTTAATTTTAATATCTTTTCAAAAAATTCCCAGCTTACAAGTTTGGGTATATGTTTCCACGAAAACACACACACACACACACACACACACACACACATACACACATACTCATTCTTCACACACACACATATTCATTCTACACACACACACACACACACACACACACACATCCAGAAATTTAATTTTAATATCTTTTCAAAAAATTCCCAGCTTACAAGTTTGGGTATATGTTTCCACGAAAACACACACACACACACATTCATTCTTCACACACACACACATATTCATTCTACACACACACACACACACACACACACACACACACATACATATATATATACATATATACACACACACGTATATATATATATTCATTCTTCCATCTTAAATCCAGCCTTCAATAGGGGAGGCTTCCAGGGCGCCCCGATGTCTGCAGTGGTCAGAGCTGGCGCTCCCAGGAGCTCGGTCCATTCTGCAGCACCACAGGCAAGAAGAAGCTGCCGTTCTTTTCCAGATGCACAATGCAGAACACAATTTTTGTTGTGTTCATGTATCCAGGTGCTTGTAGAGTCTACGACTTTTCTCTTTTTTATTTCTGTTGCCATGTTTTTTCCAGGGCTTCCCAGCTCTGCTCTCTGAGCTCACTGTGGCTGCAGTCACCAGGCCACTTCCAGGCTTGTAGCCCATCACAGCCTGGACTCCTCTGGTCAAAGCTCTCACATTTTCCTAGCAAATAAGAGAAAATGTTGAGATGTCAGCAGTCTCCTTTAGAAGATATGGAGAGTATTATTTATGGAGAACTCTAAGATAGTGGACATCCATGTCTTTAACTGGTCCTTTCTCCCCATTAAATGATAAGTTTCCAGCATTGTGTGTTCAGTTCATTCTTTTTTTCCTCGACTTTGCTTAGTTCCATAACCTCAAATATTGTCTGTAACTAGACTCATAGTCCTAGCTACTTCCTGGAAATCTCTATCTTGGTATCGAAATTCAGCCTGCCTCAATCTAAATTTTGTTAGGAACCAACTCTCTATTCTTTATTTTAGTGAGTGGCATAAACAATCTGCCGAGCTGCCAAGGTGGCACATTCTCTTTGTCTTCCGCATCTATCACACTCAGTTGGTGGGACTCTAAATTCTGTTGATGCCGGTCTCTAGAATTTTGTTTATCTGTGTCCACTGCTCTAACCCAGGTGCTCATTAGCTTTCCCTGGACCACTGCAAGACTCTCTTCTACAAGAGTTCTCTAATCACATCTCTCTCTATTCCTGTATCACAAATCTCAGACGGCTCCTTGTAGCCTGGGGAATCGAGTTCAGATTCTCTCACATGGCACCAATGGCACCTACAACATGGGCACTTTAATGATAAACCCCACACTCCCATAGCTGTATGCCTTTGTTCCTGCAACTCCTCCTGCCTGGAAATCTGGCCGTCGCCACTCCTTCCAAGTGGTACATATATTTGTCTCTCAAAGTGCAGCTTACACATCACTTCCTCTCTATAGATAGCTCTTACTCACCTCCTCTGCTCTCAGCCCCAACATAACTGTTCGTCAGTCTGGGTTCACAGAGTCCTTGATTATATACCTCTCTTCCAGACCCAACATGTCACGTTATCTGTAAACCTGCCTATCTCCCCTGTGCTAGGGTGTGATTCCCCTCAAAGCATTAATTGTGCCTTAATTCATTTTCATATCCCAGGTCTTGGTGTAGTAGCTGGTACATAGTAGATGCTCAAAAAAGTTGTAAACTTATGATTTTATTTAAGTAAAACAAAACAAATTTTAAGTTTACTTAGTAGAAAAAAATTTAATCCGATATGATTTGCAAGAATAAAGCGGTATCTTATGATCTTCTTAGAACAGTAAAATATTACTCTAGAAACTAAAGCTTATATACACAATTATACTATAATTAACTGTAACTTTCCAGCTTTCTTATACATGATCTTTAGAAAGTTTTTGCAAAAACTTAAAACTTCAACTTAAATGTCCTCTATGGCAGTAAGAGACCCAAGAAAGAACCTCTATTCTTTCTGCATATTGGTAAATTTCCTTCTAAATACTGGCAGACTTGAAATAATTCCAAACATGGAGCCACAACAAAAGTCCAAGTCCAGCTTTGCCATTACAACCAAATGCCCTTAGGTAAGTCACTTTGCCTCCTTCAGCCTCAGTGTCGTCAATGGTGAATGGGAATAATGGGACCTGCTTGGTGTGCTTCACCAGGATCGTCGTGTGAGGTGCACAAATAAGGCACCACATAAACACAGAAGTCATTCTCTGCATACACCTGAGTCCTGCATCCTATTTTTACTTTGGTGAGAGCAGCCACAAAAGCATTCAATATATGTTAGGTATGATTATGTGATTTACCTGTTCTGCACATATATTTGGTCTTTAAAATGCTATATACAAATTGTACCTGTGATGTGTCAGATGGATACTAGACTTATCACGGTGACGACTTGTAAGTTATATAAATGTTTAATCACTACATTGTGTACCTAAAACTAATGTAACACTGTATGCCAACTGTAAGTGAAAAATTTTTTTAAATTAAAAAATACCTGTGATGTAAACAAAGTGATTAAAATGTGTTGGCTCAGAGAAAAAACAATCCACTAAATGGGAGAAAAATCTGCAAATCATAAACAATAAAGGCTCATATCCAGAATACATAAAGAACGCTTACAACTCAACAATGAACAATCTTACAAACAAGAGCTATATACATGTGCACGTGGAGGAGTGCTCAACATTAGTAGTCACGAGGGAAGTATCACTTCACACACACCAGTATGGCTAAAATAAAAAAGACAGCCCTGGCTGGTGTGGCTCAGTGGGCTGAGCACTGGCCTGTGAACCAAAAGGTCACTGGTATTTCCCCATCAGGGCACACACCTGGGTTGCAGGCCAGGTCCCCACCCGGAGGCATGTGAGAGGCAACCAATAGGGGTATCTCTCACACATCGATATTTCTTTCCCTCTCTTGATCCCTCCCTTCACCTCTCTCTAAAAAAAATAAATAAAATCTTAAAAATAAATTAAAAAAGACAAAAAAAAATACTGGCAAGAATGTGGAGAAATTAGAACCCTCATACATGCTAGTGGGAATGCAATGGTGCAGCTGCTTTGCAAAGTTAAATGTGTAGTTACCACATGACCCAGCAATCTCCTTCCTAATATACCCAAGAGAACAAAAAGTGTACGTACACACAAAAACTGGCCCATGAATGTTCACAGCAACACTTATTCATAAGACAAAAAGTGGCAACAACCCAGATGTCCATCAACTGATTAAATGGACAAACAAAATGTGCTCTATCCATTCAATGAAATATTATGTGGCAATTATAGGGAATAAAGTCCTGCTACATGGATGAACCTTGAAGTCACTAAAGCCAAGTTAAAGAAACCAGTCCCAAAAGATCATATAGTGTAGGATTCCATTTTATAAAAATTGTCCAGAATAGGCAAGTCTATAAGAGAAAGTAAATTAGTGGTTGGCAGGGCCTGGTGGGAGAGGGAAATGGGGAGTAACTGCTAATGGGTCTGGAGTGTCTTTTTAGAGTGATGAAAGTGTTCTAAAGTTAGATAGTGGTTATGATTGCACAACTCTGTGACTATAATATAAACCACTGAACTGTATTTTAAAAAGATGAATTTAATGTAACTGTGTGAATTGTATGCCAAGAAAATGTTATACAAAATGCACTGGATGAGAAATTAAGAAAAACTTTAAAACTTACTTGATGGAAAAAACTTTTATCAACAACATTTTCAATCTGTTCTGCTTTCTTATTTCCAGCCAGCCGTATTTTTACTTCATCACCATTCCATTTGTTCTCTAGTAGTCGCTGGTGTTGGTATTGAAAGGTCACAGGATCTCTTCCCGGGGGAGGATGACAATACAGAAGTTTACCCTATAAAGACAACATGAATGATACAACAGCACAAGTGTCATCTGTGTTATTTCAGGACAAAGAAACAGTCCTTGGACAAGGCATCTCCAACCAGGAGCTCTGATAGAGCTCCTGCTTTTGGGTACTAGCTGAGTTGAGTTGGTCAACTGCACCTGAAGAGCCCAAGGCTCATGATGACGAGCCTTGGTGCTGAGAGGCCAAGTCTCCTGCCACCGCCCCCAGACAAGAATAAAATCTCTCTTCTCTTGTGCTCCTTCTTATCTCATTTGCATTTTTACTGCAGTATGCGTCAGTTCTCTTCTATGACTATTTATGATGAGTATCTTCCAAAGCGAAAAGCAGGACGCGACTGGACAGGAAGAGCGCACCAGTGCGGTGCTGGGCTGGCTGCAGCCGCTCGCTGCGCGCAGGCCTCCCCCTCGCCACCGCGAGCACTCCAAAAGCTGAGATTATGTTTAACGCATCTTCCCATCCTCCCGTTTTATAAACTGTAAATAAATAATTCATTCATAAAATATTCCACTATTCTTTTTCTGAATTGAAGGCAAGAGTGTGGCTGTCCACTTTTATTACTACGCTCCAAGAGCCCTGCTAATGTGGTACTGAGGAGAGAATAAAGCCAAAACTTCACAAACAAACCCTCTGTTATTACTAGGGCCCTGTAATGCTAGTCTGTGGAAAGAATTAAGCTTAATACCTAAAAATTATTGGGGCTAATTATGTGCCAGGCACTGAGCTTCATGGTGTGTGTATCTCCACACCTGCACATTGTTCTCATTTATTTTCCATAATAATCTCATGAGATAGGTACCGTAAGTTCCTCTTCCCCTGGTGAGGAAAATCCAAAACTTAGCATGTCCTCATTTATAATATGAGAATAACCTCACAGACTTAAGTATATTTACTGAGATAATACATGTAAAACATTTGAAACTACTCCTAGCAGGGTTAGCTCTGAATACGTGTTAGCTGTTATTATTGTTACTAGATAAGCATAGAGCATATAAACAGCTGTATTATATGGAAGAGCCTGCTATAGGAGTTGGAAAAACCAAAGACATTAATTTATCACTTTTGCTGACCACAGGTGTCCAGAGATCTTCATCTCTTTTCTTATTATCAGTCACTTCACTGGTTTATATGATGCTAGCTCTCCTGCATCAAGAATATAAATCCAGTTATAAAACAATCTCAATGATGAAATATCTCCTTTATAACAGATTCTAAAATCATACCGTGGAGAAAGAAGACCTGTTTTTTCAAGAGCAGGTAGCAGGGGTCACTTACGTTGACATAATCCTTCAGAATGTAGCGTGCAGAGCGAGGCTGGTCTGGCTGCCCGTGCGCGGTCATGAATCCTCGCATATCTGTGAGAAACGAATTTTGCAAAACCTCAGTCAGTAGACAGAACATCACAAAACAGACAACTGAGGTGACTGAAACTTGGTCCTTTCCCTTACCTAACTATGCATTCTTACTCTTTACTTTAAAAGGTCAATTATCATTGTAGAAAATATTTTGGTTAGCATTATAAAACCCAGGAAAACAGACCATATTGTTTTATCTGATATCCTAGCACCACATTGTGACACATGCAACTTCCTTCCACTCCACTTATTTCTTCCATTTCTTTATTTTAAATATTTATTCAAGGAGGCTATTTGTAGAATACTATGTTATCAGTATTACTAGAAAACCAAAAGCAATAGGGCAAGTTCTCTTCATACACTCCCGCCCCCGACCCCCACTTTTTCCAGTCTCCCAAACATACAACAAAGATCCCCTTAATACTAATTCAATTAGAAGGGAGTAGCAGAGCACAGTGGATAAGAATATAGGCTTTGACAGAGAGGCTGGGCTCAAAACTCAGCTCCCTCACATTCTAGCTGTGTGTTGGTTCTTTCAGTTTAGAAGAAAACAGAATCCTAGAGTTAACCTCACACACAGAAGTACATGTAGGCAGATTAAAAATCTTAAGGTCTTAAAAAACAAAAGATACTACAGATAATAGTATTATCCTTTTGGGATACGGAAGGCCTTCCACAAGTAAAACACCAAACCCAATCAAGTCAAAATGGGGGGGGGGGGGGGGGGAAGAAAAAGAAAAAACAGTCTGTTAAAATCATTAACATCCGTAGCGCCATTGGGAAAAACGTTTGTGAAACATGTGACAAAGAAGTACAAATCAAGACAAAAACAAATAACGCACAGACAAAAGGTGATTCCCAAAAGAAATGAGTATAAATGACTAACAAACATGAAGAGATGCTCAATCGCACTCGGATTTAAATACAAATTAAATTGAGACTTAGCAACATCTTTTAAAATGAACTGTCAGAGACCGTTCTTTACGGGCCTGCAGATTGTAATTAGAAACCATACACGTGTGGTCCTCCCTTCTTACAAGCTGGCTTCTCCCATACTCTGATTTCATAAGACAGTGCACAGAGACAGGTCTGGATTAGGAAATCTGGGTTTGCATCCAGGCTCTGCCACCAACCAGACACTGTCTTGGACAAGTCATTTCATGCTTTCATTTCAGATTACTTGCCTTAAAAAAAGAACAAAAGGTAGAGTGATCCTTAAGGTCTCTTCTTGCTCTATGATTTTGTGGCTATACCAGTCTTACCACAAGGGCTTAGTATTTATCCTCTTTAAAGTCTCTCAGCTAAGGTGAAATTCAAGGTCTGACTTAAGCATTGTTCCTATCAAATCATCTTCCTCTGCCAGTAAATACTCCAATAAACCGAACTCCTTCCCAGTTGGCGACAATTCCTTTGAAGGCAGGTCACACGTGCACAGAAAGGTTTCTAACATGGTTATTTTTTTAGGTAGACACAGGTTCCCCCGACCACCTTTATAGTTTGTATTTAAGGTAAAGAAATCACAATCAACTGGAAAACTGATAGGCTAAGATAACTCCCTTATGGAATTGGAGCAAAACACGGAGGTGGGAGAGCCACAGACTCATTTTAATGTTAAGCAAGGCTTACAAGGGACTGGTGAAAAGGGAAGGAAGATGTCTTGGGTCCCTATCCTAACCAGCTCCGCTGTCGTCTCTGAGGGCTGTCCCTCCCGACACTCCCTTCATAATTCTTCTATCCTGCTTTGGTGAGCATATTCATCTCCTTCCCAGTATCCCCATTCTTCCCTGTTTGGGAGAAGTCTCCAGAAAAAGCCAACATAGCCACAGATCAGACAATCTGTGTCTGCACTTGGGTACCACAAAGCAGTGACTGTCCTTGGGCCTTTTCTTCAGAAGGTTGTGGCAGGTACTGACAGGCCAGCTCTGAATGCTGCCCACACCGAGGCTTCATATATGGAGGAGGCCTGAGCTTGGGCCCCAGGGATTGGTTTCTGTGGTGAACTTTAGGAAAGGGCAGACCTGGGGAAGAGGCAAGGGGTACAAAGTATCTCCTTCTCTCACTTCTAAAAAGCACTTAACACACTGAAATAAATATACCACTCAGGTAGCGCTCAGCTCTTTCTCCTTTACTGCTGGACCCTGAGGCCGCTATCAAACCAGCTACCTGGAGGCCACTTTATAGGCAAAACAAAAATATCAACCATGGAAGATTAAGTGAAAAATGCTAAGAAAAAATTCGGAGGACAATTTCTCTCATCAGCTATATTATTTTTGGTTTGTGTTCTAAAATAAATCACAACGCACATCCATAAGCTGTCAGCAGCTCTTCCGATGTTGGAGGCCGATGGGGATCTTCATCCTCTCTAGGCTTTATGATATTAATGCCGTAGGTAGCTTCTAAAACATGTCTTGGAATATTCTGGCAAACATAAGCTTGTCAAGGAAACCATTCAATTGAACTGACCCCTCTTCCCCATGGCATCTGACACATGCTTGCAAGAACATGGTACTTCATTCAGCACTATGGCAAAAATATTTTCACCTCTCCAAAAGAGAAGTTAGTTATGCATTAATTTAAAGGCCTTTTTTAAGCAAAACCTTGTGCACCAGCAATCCCTTCCAAATGAATCCTTTTAAGTAACATTAAAATACTTCTGAAATACACCTTAAAGATAACATATTTTTAACTATCAATTTGTAAGATGATCCTAATTCAGACATAAAGCACAGTCTTTGCTTCTGATCCCTATGACTATGTAAGGAGAGGTTATTTTTCCTCTCTTGTCTAATTACCAATAGATTTTTCTTAATCCACGTGTGACATTCTATCAATATCTTGTAGTAGTTATTCATGTACATGCCGCATATTCCCAACAGGCTGAATCCTGAAAGGGCAGGATCCATATTTGATTCATGCCCACATCCTTCACAGAACCCAACCAAATCTGGCTTGTAATAAATGCTTTGATATTTATCCAGGTTATTACAAGTAGATTTAGTACATTCTCTTTTTTTAATAGCTTCTTTTAAAAAAATTTTTCAATTAATTTATTTCCAATATTATTTTGTACTAGTATCACGTGTACAGCATAGTGGTTAGACAATCATACACTTTACAAAGTGATCCCCCAATATTTCCAGTACCCACCTGGCATCATCCATAGTTACTGCAATATTTTTGACTATATTCCTATTATACTTTATTCATTCTTTTAAATAACTGTACTCTATGTTAGAGATGCACCATGTTTTATTTATCACAATAAATGAATTCTTACTCATTATTTCTTATAGAAAGAGGAAACAAACTGGGGTAAACAAAAAGCTGTGGCCTTAAGTGTAGTCATTAAGAATCCTGTCAAGAATCATGCGGGGCCTGGCATTTTACCCTACTTAAAAACTAACAAACTAGCGTGCCAGGTTTCACAGAGTCTCTTGTCTTTTGCCAGCACCCACAAATCAGAAAGATTAATTTGTTAGCTTGTCAGTAGGGTTAAACCTTAGACCCTACAGTTCATAACAGATTTATCTTTGAGTACCTTTTTCATGTCAGGCTCTAGTCTAGTTGCTTTATATAAGTTAACTCATTCCGCTGCTGACAGGCAGCAAAGTTCCTAATTTGTACTTACTGAGACCTCAGGTAAATTATTTAACTTCTATGTGCCTCAATTTTCTCAACAGCAGTACCCACCGCAAGGGTTGTCTTGAGAATTAAACGAGGTATAACTTGGTGTTTAGCAAAATACACAATAAGCATCCAATGAGTGTTAGCTACAATGATTAAATTCTCATAATTGACCGTGAGGTAGCTACTACTAATAGAAAATGAAAGACTATGGAAGATGAAGCAAGTTTTCCAAGGTCACTCCGTAAAATGGCAGTGTCAGAATTCAAACAGGTTTGCAATCAGAGGCTGAGATCCCAGTCTGGGATGCCCCATTGCACCAGGCTGCCCTGCTGCAACCAGGACATGAGGCTCTAGTTCTGAAGTCCTGAAGCTGTCTCACTGTGTAAACTTGGGCAGAGCACTAGTAAGTATTTAAGATTTTCCATTCTCAGATACCAGTCCTGAACACATCAAATGCAAGGCAATGTCCAAAATAAACCTACAGCCCCAATTCAAACATAACAACCAGGGTCTCTGTAAGCAGAAAGGATATTAGTGATGTAGGTGGGACGTGATCTCTCATCTGGTCGATTGGGAGGATTCCACTGCAAATCATCTCAGCCTTGGTAGAGACAAAGGATGGCATCACCAGGCCTGGGCAGTCACATAAGCAGAGGCCAGGTTCCACAAAGAGAGTCTGAAAGACAAGTAAGAGGTCTATCCAGGGCACAGAGCAGAGGGACGAACTGGCCGAGAAGAAAATACGGAGGCCGATGCTTAGAAATAAATACCTGAAAATGCTTGGTGTGACCAGGTGTGGCAGACACAGATACTTTCTTGTTGCCCATGATAGTGTTGATTGTTGAACTCTTACCGACATTTGGGTAGCCCACCTAGAAGAGACTGAGAAGTTACTGAGCAGTCAAACAGTACATCTACCAAAGATCCAAAGATACTATATAAACAGTGGCAATACAAGCATAAGCGTCTATTTGCTTCAGAAGATTATCTGAAACATACGTTGTTTATAGTCAGACATTGCCCCCCTCCTGTGGTATGGGTATATTTATTCAGATTTGTCTCCAGTAATGAACGGTTAAGCAAAATAAGTACATTTCATTTTTGTAAGTTTTGCGATAAGAGCAGATGCTACAGTAAAACTCACCGCCTCGTTCTCAGCTCTTCGCCCACCTCCCACCTACAGGCATTTCACTGTTTCCACTGATCTTCCACACTGGGTGAAGCTGAGCATCAGGTATTTTCATCATCACAACACACAATTATTTTTAACAACAGTACCAAGTTTTTGTCTCCCTGGCCAAAAATTTCAAATGGTATAATGACTTGATGTGGGTTATCAAGCTACTAAAAGTCTTCAATTACTCTTGTGTCCTGGGTGAAACAATATTCTTTTTTGTTTTATTTTTGTTTTTTAACCTCTGCCTCTCCCTGAGCTATCAATAAATATGAAATGTCATGTTGCCTCAGATCAAGGAGGATCATATACAGGAACAAAGGAAGTTCTAAAATGACAAGAAAACTTTTTGCTCAGACTACGCCACCCTTGCTCTCTGCTTTTTCTCAGGCTTTCCCGCAGGCCTCCAAATCCAATTCCCATTCTTAACACGGTTCCAAGAATCCTCCATCAACATGACTGGAAGGTAATAAAATACCAATTCTACTGAATATAAAATCCCAAGCTTTCCACCTCTATCACAAGACTATAAGTGGACATACTTCCACCATTCCAGTCTCAACTCTCTCCACTCTTCCAACTTCAGCCCTCAATCACATGTCATTCCGTGAACACACTCTTCCATTCCTCAGGCTTTGCTTAAACACTTTTTGACCATCTGGAATGCTTTTCCACTTTCACACTTTTGAGATACCACCTCTTAAAGATTTTAGGTAACTGCTTGCATTATTCTCCTAGCATTGTGTGTTTATAGGTTGAATACATGATATATTATTATATGTTTAAATGTTACTGGGGCGGGGGCGGGAGGGACCGGGTGATGACTTCTGTTACTGTCATCCCCCCTCTCTCCAATCAGGTTCCCTCATGGTAACTCCCTAACCTCAGGGAATAGAACGCCCCCTTCTCTAGCTCTTGCCACCTGGAATTACAAGATCTATGAGGGTGGGACGGTATCTGTCTTGTCTACTGTATCTATATATGGCTAGCGCCCAGCAGGACACTTGGCATGTAGCAACTGATTAATAAACATTTGTAGAATGAATAAATTAACCTGTGCCAGGATTTCTACTAAAAAAACCTGAAAAAAATGAGGGAGGCTGCTTCGCCATTTCCCTAAAAGTAAGAAATAAAGTAACTTGTAGGGAAGCTGGGCTTTCTGGTACACATGGAAAATAAATTTTTAGCGATAATATAGAAAAATGAAGCCTTAAATCTGAGAGAAATTATGTAACTTTTCCAAGGTTCGTAGCAAGTCAAGTCTGTTCCACTGAAGAACTGGGAATCACATCTAGGTCTGCCTGGCCTCAGAGACAACTCTCTTAATCACTGAACTAAAATAAAATTTGTAAAACAGAACTTTATCTTTTTCTGGATGGGGGAAGGGAGTCAAAAATAATTAGGATTAGCTGTACTTGATGTGTAATTTAAGAGCTGGAAGACTGTCACAATTTACTTTCCTCCACTGTTCTATTCTCTTTGAGGAAAGATCTTTGAAATAAATACCTGCTCTAACACTTTACACTTCCTCAGCTAAGGATGCGGCCATCTGGAACCACGCTGTACCCCCTTGGGGTCTGGGCACTTTTCACAGCCACCTTGGAATCAGGGTACATGGGCTGAGATGCCATTTCCTTCCCCTTATTTGTAGTGTTTATGCAACTAAAGCATTTATCATGTTTTCCCTGGCCCCCAGATATTGGGATTCTCCCTAATATACTTCTGGAACATTTACAGTATAAGTTGGCAAGGATCACAGGATGCCCAAAGCCTACCCTTCCTATAAGGCCTACCTTACCTGAAGGTAAGAACACTGGACGAGAAGTCCAAAGACAACCTTAAAAGCTCTCATTCTAGTATCTCTTGGTAAGCCATGTCAGGTAGAGCTGAACTGAAAGAGACTGGAGAAGACTAATATGAACATGGCTATAACCAATAAACAACTTGAGAAAGTTCACCCTTTTAAGTTGGGCTTTGCCTGTCACACTGCCTATTCTCACAATGGGCAGTGGCTACTAAGGGAGGATTAATGTTTCCTGTGATGCCAGAAACCTGGGTTCCGGTACAGCTTCCAAAGGGTGGAGAATAAAGACCCCCATGGTAACTAATTTATCACATATTTCATCTTACCAGTCCAACAGTAAGGTGCTGATCCTTCACCTTCTTCCCAGTATGCAGCTGCTTCAAGATCTCCAGTAATTCCTGCTTTGATACCAGGTGGCTAAAATTGCGTGTTTGCCTCTTCTGTGGGGTTTTCATGCTTTGGGCCTCGGAGTCCACAGCATGGCTTTCCTTCCAGTTCTGGCTACAGGCTTCTTCATTAGGGTTACTGTCCTCTTCTGAACACGTCTGCCAATCTTCGTCCTCCTCCTCTTGGCAGTCCTCATACTCACTCTCCTCTTCATCACTAGTGACAACTTCCCTGAGTGAGAGACAGTCCTTGTCTAGGATGTGGCTAGTCTCACTATGTGGAATTTCAGCCTCATCACGACTACAGTTTTCAAAGTCAGTTCTGTTGGCTTCGTCAGCATCTCCATTCGATTGTTCCTGATGAGATAATAGAAAACAGAAAAGTTCAGAAGTGTACAACTGCACGTTTTCACTCCAGTGAAAATATTCAAGCTCGTCATCCAAGATGAATAAAGGCCAATGAAAGTTATGAAGGAGACTAGTAGCTAAGGTGAACACAGGGAGGAGACAATGTAAGCCTTTCAGTGCAAGGGCACAGCCACACTGTCAACGATCGTGTCCTCAGGGGACGGGGGAAGCAGTGGACCTTCACTTTATACTTTTCTCTGGTATTCGAACTTTGTACAATAATAGGTACTACTTTTGGAACAGACAAATCTTCAAAGAAAGCGAGGGCTGAAGAAAGCCTGTGTCAAGCTGAATTCTTTGGCTGCACATCATTTTGCATTGGGCTGAAGAATAAAACAAAGCGTTTCTCATTAATGATAAAACATTCTTTTTTGCACAAAGCAAGAAAGGTTTAATTTGTAGTTTGGGCTTCATTTTACATTTGCATTTTTAAAGACAGTGGTTTGCATGTTTAAAGTAACTGCTATTTTATTATAATTGCCTTTAATAAATCAAAGCACCATGGAAATAGCTCCCTGTGTGTAAAATGAAGGATTAACAAAACTCGACTTTGTATGTGGAAATCACTGACCAAGTAAAGACTTCCTTTGGAGAGAAAGATAAAAACCACATACTACTGATGGTGTATTAATTCTTCTGAATTCTTGTTGATAACAAAACAGAAATAAAGCAATTTATAGTATTACTAATTTGTATCAAAAAGGGTGAATTGGTTTGGATTTAGAAGTAATGTAAATAAACCTTGTATCGTTTCCAAATAACCTATACTGTTAGAATGAGTAGCCATTACAGAAGGGGACATGATGAACTCACTTAAACAGTTATCCTATATTTTAGGAAGGCAATGTAAATAAATGTGAGGGTAAGTAGGTATGATTTCATGATAATGCTTGGCAACTCAAAAGGAAACATGGAATTGGAAGATATTTCTACAGTAAATGAGCAAGGAATGTAAGGAAGTCACTGTGAGCTCTTCTGAACCATTTGAAAATATGAAAAAGACAGAAAATAAGAATGTGAACTGAACATGAATGTTCAGGTTCAGGAAAAATGAAATGACAACAAAAGGACTTTCTAGTAGTTACATTAAAAATAAAAGAAGGAGCAAGTCAATCTTTTGGGGAATGAGGTGCAATTTAACAGATGACCAAGAGAAAACTGAGGTCCTCAACTCAAAAAAAAAGTTCTAATTTTTTTTTTTAAATATAAGAAGATGTTAAATATCTGTAGAGGAAAAAAAACTTCACATAGGTGAGAAAACAGTGAATATCAAACTATTTTTAATAAGTTCACGTTTGACAGCCAAATGACAGATGTGATCACAGATATAATATCACAGTGGTAACCGGTATTTTGTCTTTGGAAATCATGCAAAACAGAGATTTCAGTAGTCTTTGGAGTAGTAAATGGGGCCTAACTTTTAAAAAGGAAAAAAAGAGTATCTTCCATAAACCACACAGTTAATCCAGAATCTAACCCGGAAACAATTCCAGAGTTAGCTGGGGAGTCCTACAAGGGAGAGACACTCAGCAACAGGGGCTCCCTGAGAACAGACCATGCCAGCAAATTTCCAATTCTCTTTGAAATCTACTACTTGGTTAACAGTGCAGGGAATATCACAGATGCAGAAACTAATCCTCTTTTCATTTTTCACAGGGTTGTTGGGTTGGTACATCAGAGTTAAGCAATAGAGTGATAAATATTTATTCAAAAACTTCAGCAAGACACTGACTTTGAAACAACAGAAATGATCGTTAAGAGGACAAACTATGAAGCCAGACTGCCTGAGGATAATGAGCACTTATACTTATTGTTGAGATGATTAAAGGAATAAAATATTGTAGTGCTTAGAATATAGTACCTGGTAGAGAATAAACTTTCTATGATTTAGATTTTAACAACAGTAACATTATAATTGTTACATCCTTGCAAATAACATCTATTCATCAGGGAGTGCTTAGTCCAGAAAAGGTTACAGAGAGCTCTATCCTTGGTCCTACTCTATTCAACGTTATTTATTAATTACTAGAAAGACTATAAAGAAGGGCAAACATTCAGATTGTGCAGATGATTCAAACATAGGAGAGAAAAGCAAACTGCCCAACCATAACGAACGTTACCCTGGCCCCAAATCACTAATATTTAAAAGGAACAGTAATATCCTAAGTTAAGGTAAAAACAAAATGAAACTTTTTCCACATGGAAAAAGATAGTATGATAGGAATATAATCAATACAGTCAATAATATTGAGATTGGTGTATAAGTCTTTCTTTTAAACATTGGACAGAGTTGCTTGTCCACAGCTTCAATGAGCTAGGAGCATAATATAGTTCCTTTGAAAAAGGGTGAATTAACATACACTCTGAATCTTCAGGAGTATCCTGATCACAAGAAATAACAGTCCCTCCGTAATGCCCTGGGCAAGCTACACGTGGAATAATGTATTCAATTAGGTTCCACTAATTTTGTGTGCTATCCTGATGCAGGCAGATGGGCATTCAGGGTAAGTGCCCCGAAGGTGATGTCTATGAACAACAGGAAAGCAGAAAATCTATAGTTTGCAGAACTAAGGAAACAACGGAAGGGCCCTCAGATCAAAGGTGAGGGAATGGCTTAGCTTCACTAAACTAAAGAACTTTCAAAATTTAGAGGTAAGAATGAACTGCCTGGTCTCTGTCATTTAAAGTAGTCACAGAGAGATTATATGACTATTTGCCAGGGAGGTGGAAGAAGAAACTCCTTCAGAGTCAGAGCTCACTGACTTGTGAGCCCAGCAAAGGGTGGGTGTTGTATTCACTACAGCTAGTCACACAAAAGAGTCAACAGATGGTTGATAAATAGGAAAGGAAAGGAGGATAGGAGAAAAGATATTACTTTAATTCTCTTCCAGTTGTAAGACTTTATTACTAATTTCTTTTTATATTTAGTTACTTTTATTATAAACATAAATCCCAAACAGTTAATGTAATATTTGGGATAAAAGATACTATGGCGAATGTCAGTGTGTCACACAGAGCTGTGAGGCTGGCAGGAAAAAAGACGCCTTGTGACTCACTTTTCCACAGGTCCTCCTACAATCCTCACAGCACTTGGGGAAAAAAAGATCAAACAAACCCCCCTAATTTCCATAAATCTCCATAAGAAAAGCAAGACACACTATCAGGAAATGATATCTTCTTCCATGAAACCCAACCTTAAAACGTCCCCCACGTTACCTTAGAGTCAGCAATCAGTGGAAGGGCTTCAGCCAAAGCCGACCAGAAAATAACCTTCACATTTTCTTTTTCAAAGTATGCGGCCCAGGCACTCCGCTGCTCGGAAGTCAACAAGTCCGCCTTATTTATCAGAATAACATTTTCCTTATTGCCATCAATTTCTTTCACATAACATTCCTGGCAAGACAAAGATATTTAGGAAGGACCCCTCAAACAAGTAAAAATTAGGTTAATTATATTGAAGACCCGCCCATCCCACCCACTCAACTATGACTAAAAGTTTTCATTGTCCCCAGTTTTAAATCACTCTTAATTTAAATATTTTTAATCATGTTACATTCTACTGATCCTCTCAGTAAGCTCTGAAAAGTAGTTACATCACATAAGAAATGGGAAGGGGTAAAAAGCAATGCTTTCCTGCCCTCTTGGGGTGCAACAGGTCCTTTTTTAAATAATGCAGTTCCTCTGTTTAATAATGCTCAACTGTTTCTTTTAAACAAAGTTAGAGACTGCATAACTAGATTCGTGAGCCAGCAGGGACTATTTTTCAGCTAAATGATGACAGCCAACACTATTTAATGTAAAAATTATTTCTGAAGTCTAAAAGACAACTAAGACTCTGAACTGAAATTCACCCCCAAATTTGGCTCATCATTAGGAAATACACCAGAATTATAAGAGCTGACTTCATAAGAGTTTCCCCATTAAGACTGTTATTCACCAGTGGATTTAAAAATAACCTGCACTATTACTACTATGGTCCTCAGTAGAAAACCTCATGTGTGTAGAGTGTTTTATTAATTCAAAGTCTCTGTTACATCATTTCATGTGATTCTCACACTGTAACACCCCCTGTGGTAGCTTACAAACTTAGTTTACTTGTAAATCACCACAGGAGGTAATAATTAAGATGTGAGAAAACTTACGGGGACGGATAAGAAATAAAGTGACCAGGAGTATGTTGAAGTAAAATGCTATTTTGACTGATGTCTCAAAAAGTGACTAAAATGGCAAATGTCTATTTAAAAAGTGGTTTCTAAACTAAAAGTTAGAAAGTTCCTGTCCCTGTTTGTGCCTTCCTGTAGATGGAAACAATTGTTGGAGAGGAGAAAACATCTGTCTAAACAGTCGCATTATGCAAACTCCCCGACCTTGGGAGGAGAGGGAGGCCTAATTAAACAAAGCCAGAGGAGAGTACAGAGTGCAGGCCTAGAGTTACTGCGATCGGGGATGCTGTCCTCCTACTGCTCCTCCAAGGACAGTAAGTTTGAACCTTGTCACACTTTACTTACCAAATCCTCACATCTAAATAGGAGCGGGTTTCGAGCATCTACTATCTGGACCACGATATCACTGCAAAACAAATGTGAGATACTCCAATCATTGTGAAGTGAAAGGAAATACCAGCTATATAGTAACAGTAGAAAACAATTTCCATATATTAAGCATTTGACATATTTAACTTTGCAAAGTACAATCACTCCCATTTTATATATGAGGAAACTAAAGCTTAGAACAATTAAGTAACTTATTGAAGGTCACCAGCTGCTAAGTGATAGATAGAGCCAGAATGGGAACTCAGGCAGTCTGGACCAGGGACCACGCTCATTATCAGAATATTCTCCTGCCCTTATACGGATGGTCCAGACGGGCTCTGATGATGTTTCACTGCTAAAATTTTAATTTTATCTTCTAGCAACCTCTCCAGGAAAGATAAAGTGAGGTCTGCTGTATATTCAGTACCTAATCTACACTGAGCTAAGGCTTCAAAAGAAAATTAATATTTCTATCACTTGCTGACAGCTGCCACTATCAAAGCCTGTCTCTTATTTAAACCCAGGGTTGATAAGACAAAGCATGTATCCAGCAAATAATCATCCACTCATTCTAAGAATGTGTTTAGATAGCAAGAATCCAAAAAACAAAAAAACCAAAAAAAACCCCAAAACAACAAAACAACCCCCACACACACTTAGGTGCCATCCTGAAGCAGGAATGATGAGTCCAACTTCTTCAATCACATACAAGAAGATGTAGAAATGAAGAAAACCTTCTGCAGCTGATAGCAAGCCCCTCGAATCACTAAAAAATGCGGTGGGGGCTATGAGGGCCCAGCACTGCAAGAATAAGTATTTCCCTTCTCTGGGAGGATCCCCCCTCTGTCAGCTTCTGTGAGCAGGAAAGATGCTTATTTAAGGGCCAGCTGTGACTGCCACTGGAAGAAAGGAACAGGCTGCAGATATACTACCTACACCTTACGGCAGTCTCCCCAAATCCACGTCTGGTTAGCCTTTTCTGAGGTAGCTCTTCTGCGACTATGCTGAATGCCATGGAAATGCATGGAATCATGGTTATCATTCAGGGCAGGGTTTTTGACAATCAAAGCGCACTTCTTTCAGAGCAGTTAAATTTCCAGAATAATCAGGTGATTCAAAGGAATTCACAGACTTGCTAATTTATAAATTGTTTTTAAATTTTCAAATTAAGCAGGTTCTAATATATTCTTCTTTAAGGTAATAACCCTACCACTTCAAAACTGTGGGGATTTAAGGGTAAATGCAAGAATGGCTGCAAAAAAATGGACAAAGCCTAATGAACTAAAATTACAAGGTCCACAAACATTATGTCTACCTACCAAACACACAGAAGGAATAAGAATAATCAGCTTAGAAACACCAATAAGAAAAGAAGGCAAATTTAAGACAGCTTGCTTCCTGTGCTGAATTAGGATACAGAGAAAGGTGCCAACTACGCACCAGGAAGGGTCTGTGCAACACAGCGGAAGCGCCTATGTCACCGGAATACAGTGTTCTGCCCTCAGCGCCACTGCAGCTTCCTGCATTTCAATGACATGTTATACTCAAACCTTTTCTGATAACTACTTCTGAAATTAAAGAGACAGATGGCTTAGCTGCCTGTCACCAAACAGAAGACATCTGTTGTACAGAACACACCAATACATATTATCTGTTAAAAGATGTGGCATTAGTCACTTTATTGATAATAATTCTATGTAACTCAGATCAACTGCCATATAAAATACACTATATTTTATACATGATAGGTAAACACGGCTCACTTCCTCACACAACTACATCAAAATTACAGCTAAAACATTGAACCATCACTCAGTCCATCAGAAATCAACTTGAATAGAAGTCTGACAACTACAGAATTAAACCATATCCATCCAGACTGATGGGAGGGGCGGAGACAAAGAACTGGCTGGACCCACATCCACATGTGGTGGATAAAAATTCGGGAGGGGTATCTCTGGAGCCAGGAGTTCCAACTCAACACCAGGCTCTTCAGCCCAGGGTTCCAGTGCCAGGAGGATAAGTCCCCGTACTTCTGGCTGCAAAAAACAGCAGCAGTTGAGTCTGTATAAGAAACTGGTAGAATCCCAAGCAGTTCCTCCTAAAGAACCCACACATGAACTTACTCAGACTCACTCACTCTCTCTGAGCTCTGAGGTAGCACTGAGAAAGGCTACAGCGGCATACAGGGAGAAAATGAAGTAAGCATATAGCATCAAAGCGAGAACTGGGGACAGCCTTTTCCCAGACAGAAAGGCAGGTCACTGTCCCTTTTTTGAGCCCTCCCCGCACAGAGCCACAGAGCTGACAGGCTGGTGCTATATCTGAGACTCCATCAATCTGGCTAACACTGTAGGCCCTGCCCTCGAAATCCCCAGAGACTCCATCCCACCCAAGCTCTTTCTCCATTTGAATGACTGGTCTTGGCTCTTGCTTCACAATTTCCTAAATCCTCTCAAAGAAGCAACAGCCAGCCTCAGGAAGCCCAGCTCAGTGAGTCCGAAGGCCCCCCTAGCCACGTATCTCTCCTTAAGGGGCCCCAGGCCTGACACTAGCAGCAACCAGTCTAGATTCACAGCTTGGCTTCACCTGGGATCTCCAAGCCCAGCACAACTAGCAGCCTTCTCAGACCGTTTTATAGCTCAGGCAGGGTGGCCCTGGGCAAAACAAAGGTGGGGGCTAACCTTGGCCTGCACCACCCAGAAAACCGCAGAGCCTGCTCACTCAGTGGACAGCTATAGACCACATCAGAGCACCATCACCCTGCCCCTGTGCAGCTGATCCTCCACAGAGGGCGGAGGCTGGTGGTAAGTGGCCAAAGCCAGTCTTTGCAGTTGACAGACCTGGGTAAATCTCTCCCATTGTCCTGCAAACAGCAATCACGTCTCAACTACAAGGGGAGGATGTACTCAGCTCACACAAAGAGTGCACCTCAAGTACCCAGCTTGGGTGACAGGGGAGGCTGTGCCATTGGACCCTACAGGACACCTACTACACTAGGCCACACTACCAACACATGGAGTCAAAGCAGCTCTACCTAACACATAGGAAGAAACACAGGGAGGCCGCCGAAATGAGCAGACAAAGAAACATGGCCCAAATGAAAGAACAGATCAAAACTCCAGAAAGAGAACTAAACAAAATGGAGATAAGAAATCTATCAGATGAAGAGCTCAAAATGCAGGTTATAAGGATGCTCAAGAAACTTAGTGAGGAACTCAGCAGCATAAAAAAGATCCAGTCAGAAACAAAGGACACATTAATTGAAACAAAGAACCCTTTACAGGGAAACAACAGTGGAGAGGATGAAGCAGAGAATCAAATTAATGATGTGGAACATAAGAAAGCAAAACAAAACAAAACAAAACAAAAAACCCCCAACCAATCAGAACAGCAAGAAGAATAAAAAAAAAAGGGGATAGTATTAGCAGCCTCTGGGACAACTTCGAGCATTCCAACATTCATATCATATGGGTAGAAGAAAGAAAAGAAAAAGAGTAGGACACTGGAAATCTATTTGAAAAATAATGAAAGAAAATTTCCCCGATTCGGTGAAAGAAATAGACATGTAAGTCCAGGAAGCACAGAGAATCCCAATTATGATGGATGCAAAGAGGCCCTCTCCAAAACACATCATAATTAAAATGCTAAAGGTTAAAGATAAAGAGAATCTTAAAAGCAGAAAGAGAAAAGTAGTTCGTTACCTCGGGGGTAGTTCCCATAAGACTGTCAGCTGATTTCTCAAAAGAAACTTTGCAGGCTAGAAGGGACTGGCAAGAAATATTCAGTCATGAAATGCAGGGACCTACAACCAAGATTGCTCTACCCAGCGAAGCTATCATTTAGAATCAAAGGGCAGATGAAGAGCTTCCCATACAAGAAAAAACTAAAAGAGTCCATCATCACCAAACCATTAATATGTGAAATGTTAAAGGGACTTATTTAAGAAAAAGATAAAAATTATGAATAAAATATGAACAAAACTATGAATTATGAATCTATCAACAATTGACTGACAAACTAAGCAAACAAACAGAACAGAGAATCATGGATACAGGGAGTGTTTTGATGGTTACCAAATGGGAGTGGGGTATGGGAGAAAGGGGTGAAAAGGTGAGGGGATTAAGAAGTTCAAATAGGTATAGAATAGCCATGGGGATGTAAAGTACAGTATAGGAAACGGAGTAGCCAAAGAACTTATCCACATGATTCATGGACATGAGCAATGGAGCAGGGATTGCCTGACGGAGTGGGGGCTGCTGGGTAGAGGGGGGCAAAGGTGGGAAAATTGTGATAACTGTAATAGCATAATCAATAAAATATAAAAATATATTCAATGAGAAAAAACGTTCTCTTATAAAAAGAGAAATATAATAATAAAGCCAACAAAGCAGGTAATACTGTAATCCAATTGACGCTGAAAGTTTCACAAGCACAGGCTTGTGCTGGGGAAACCAATTGCTTATTTAGCGGCATAAAAAGTGGGTAAAGGGCCATTTTGTTAAACATGGAAGAACATATATGGTTACCTCTGTTCTTCCTCAAAAAGTAAAGAAAATGAAAGTAAAGGTTGGAATTCATTAGGACAGAGAAAAAGAAAGGACAGCAACTAAGAAATGTCAAACCAATAAGCAAGCCTGTTGGTGCCCCAGTGCCCAAGAGAAAGCTCAGGGTTGGAAGAATCAGATCTAGCTCTCCAGGCGAGGGTGGGGTACGGGCCTGAAGTCAACCCGAACACGGGGCTCTCAGGACATTCCCCTGTAGCATTCAACCAGGCAACCACACCCCACCCGTTTCACAAATTTAATACAAGTTTTGTTTTCTGTTTGTTTGTTTTTTCCCCCATAATAATGCTAAATGTGCCAATAATCTTTTCTGAGAACCAGTAAAGCATCCTGTTTCCTAACGTTCCTACTAGGTGTATTTTATGTATTTAAAAAACAAACAAACAAACAACCTGAGGGTTCCTTGTTAAAAATCATTTCAAATATAAGGTTTATTTATGGTATCCTTGTAAATAATTCAAACACTTTTAAGAAAACAAAAACCTTTTAACTATACTAGTGATTTTCAACCTCTTTCATCTCATGGCACGCAGAAACTAATCTCTGAAATTTGTGGTACACCAAATAATGGTTTTTGCCAATCTGCTGGAAAAAAAAATTGGTGTAATTTTGATTCATTCACACTGGACAGCTATTGTGTTGTCTATCGTTATTTTTTAATTTGACAATCTAAGGGTAGAGAGATTAGTGCCCCTGACTAAATAGTCAGGTATTACATGTTTAAAAATTCTTGCAGCACAGTAGTTGAAAATCGCTGAACTATACCAAGAAGTAAGACTGGAGAAAGTTGATTCATCAACATCCAACAATCAGGACATAAAAAAAGACTGAAAATCTCCCATTCTTAATTTCTCAGAGTCAGTCTCTTTTCAAATTCCAATTAAAATAAATCACGTCACCCCCCGCCCCCAACCCTATCAACTGTTCCTTCCCCTGCTATGACTTGGCCCACTTCCTTTCTATCTGCAACAGAGCAGGACCACACTCTGGTTTGTATTTTACCAGGTATTGCGTCACCTGAGCGCAAGGAGTGCATTTCAGTCATCTGTGTGCCCGGGTGCCTGGCGCTCTGCTTGCTCGCCCTCCCCCAATAATGTATTTGTTCTTTGAAGGCAGGCACCTATCCCTTTTCACACCCATATTTTCCACTTTACCAGTAGAAATTCAATATACAGTTGCTTTAATAACTACAGTTGCTTCAGAATTCATGTTACAGAAAATGTTCACTCTCACAAGCTTATCAATGTATACATCAGAAACTATCTATATTAAAAAAATAGTATCATACTTTCAGTTCTTAAAATAATTCTCAACAGCCCCTTGCATAGCTTAATATTGCTCCCCCCAATCTCTGGACATACAAACATATATTAACACCCAAATCGAATATAACACAACAACAACTTCATCACCACACCCCCCAACGGTAATTTACCTTCTCTCAATCACCCTCCAGAGTTGGCGCCAAAAGTCCAAATTTCTTTCAAATGGAGTCAGTATCAGCTTTTGTTCCTCTTCTAGCCTGGCTTTAAAATGATACGTTTATGCCTTTGCCAGATTATAATAGAAGGTTTTGAGTAATATAAATATTTGAATGCATTGCATTAAAAAATAAGTACACAAATATCAACTGTCAAATTATTTTTATATACTTTCTGCTGAGGCAGTTAAGTATGTACATTAAAATTTTATACTTAATCTATTTAAACCCTGGAAGGTTATCTATCACACAAAGTGACATTTCTCCAAGGCATTTCTCTCTTCCAGGAGGAAGGCGCTAGAGCAGTGATCAACTCCAGGTGACTAGGGCGAGGCAAGAGTATAAAAGAGAGAAAAGGACAGAGACGGAGCAGACTAACCAACTCACCACCTTTGTGCAAGGAGGCTCCCGCAGCCAGCAATGCTGTTCGCACACACACCAATTTGCACTTAAAGAAGAAAGCTACTTTTTTTTCTTTTTTTTTAAAAAGAATCAAGCTTTCAAAATGCACATCAGCTACGCAAACACAACAAAATGTCTGACTTGGAATTTCAAGGCAAATCTTCAGGTAGTCTAACACTCACCGGACAAGCTGACGTCTCCATTCTAGAAAGTTATCTTTCTCTGCCTGTTTGAGTTCTTGGGGGCTAGTATTTTTGTCCCACTTTGGTCTGAAACAATCAGAGGAAAAGAAAAACTCCACATGAGTTACCAAAATAAAACAGGAGATTTGGATTTAATAATGGCTGCTGAGAGCAGAAAAAAAGTGAACACCATATTAAAAAATTTGTACTCAGTGGCCCTCATAATGTCCTACTTTGTTGTTCAACTCACCTCCGTGGGATACACAAGAACTGTTTGTTTTCTTCATGGAGCTTCTTAATTCGCTGGCTCTCCTCACAAGACAGCAGTCCAGTTTTAGCCTCAGGAGGCACAAACTTAATATTAAGCTTCTCTGTTTACAGAATAGAAAAGTACTGTTACTTAAGAGGCAGTATAGATACTGTATGTTAGTCATTACTTCAAAAACTAAAAACATGAGCACCTAAAACAGAATTTAAGCTTTTTTGATTTAGATTCCTCTAGCCTTGGATAAACTATAATTTCCAAATGAAATTTTTCTACCAAAAGAAAAAAGATCTAATAGTCTTCAAAAGGTTAACCATTTTTTCAAGTACTAATTTTATGAAACTCCATATGCTAAATGCAGTAAGAGTGGGAAGCAATTGTAAAGATTTACTACCACCAATCTCTTCATTTTATACAGCAAGAGCAATTGTACGCCAGTGGGAACGGGTGGGGAAGCCAATATTCCGTAGTCTCAACTCCAGTTAGAAATGGTGAACTACTACACTGCTATAATTGACATAAAATATTTATGATGAACACCCAATTCATGCTTTATATGAATTCAGAAGAATAAAATAAATGTGAAGTCCATGTATAAACTACAGAGACCTCAGTTCTGGGGCTCTATTCTCTGCCCCCCGCCCCCACCCAGCTGCTCCAGAGTTGCCCAGGCCTCTGTATTTCACCACACACAGCCACCTAGTCTCCTCAGACAGGCGACTTCACCGAGAGAAAAACGTATGAGACCACCTAAGTAATTTACAAAAAATGCCAAGGGAAGTTCCTATTCAAAGACGACACATCTTCTGCAACATTTCTAATGGCCTTTAGGTGAAAACCGCAGTCTGCTACTGTCGTAAGACCACCAATACCGTCTAGGACCTTGGTCTGCTCAGTCCAGTAACCTAGACTGAGTACAGTCAACCCAACCACCATTCTCTTACACGTCACCCTCAACCAACAGTCAAAACACACACACCTTGAGCTACAAATCTGGTAATTCTTTCACATTAATCTTCCTTCCAATGATCTCCCGCCCAATGGCCAACCACTGTAAACACCTCTAGCCTTTTGATTGTCTACTCTTTTCCCTGCCCATTGTCCAACTCATAGCTTCACTTCTTTCCTTATTTGGCTAAAGCCATATGGTACATACATTCGGCCTCTCCGACTGAACACCCAAATCCACGACTCCACTGCACCCACTCCCAAATTTCCAACCTTAGATAAAGCCAACTACCTTTTCTCCTCATTTCAGGAGTGATGCTATCAGTGCTGCTGCAAGTATTCATATAATAATACAGCCACCTGTCTCTGGACTGTGTTTACTACCAACACTTCTGACACCAAATATGTGGGTTTTCCCACACCAAAAACGAATTCTCCAATTCTTCCAACATCAACTGGGTGTCCTACAATTCAATTTTATTCTGTCAGACTCCATAAGTATAAGGGTTCTGTCCCACGACTTAACTTCAGCTGCCAAATCTGAATGGGTTTTACGGAGGCTTCACATAGGTGTGAATAATTATTGGTCAGTGGTGATTAACTCAACCATCGGCATCTCCAAGGGGTTTGGGAACCGGGGGCAGGGGCAGGTTCCTGAAAATTCCAACACTCTAATCACTGGGTTGGTTCCTGTGGTAATCGGCCCCCCTCACCACCACCCCTGCCAGAAGGTACCTGAGGGCCCACTAGTCACCTCATTAGCACAAGCTCTCCTCTATCCCTTATCATTCAAGAAGATAGAAGGGTTTTAGAAACTTTTTGTATCAGGAACTGGGGATGAAGACCAAATATATATGTTATTGTATCACAACACCAAACCTTGCCTTATTAGCTGAAAATAAGAAATGAGTGCTACATATGCCATCTTTTGAAAAATAGAGTCCTCAGTGAGCTTTTCACACGTGTCATTATTTGGCACTTCTTTGTTAGGTCAGGGACTCCTAAGAGAACTTATTAAAAACTATATACCATCAACACATCAAAAAATGCATAAATGTACAAAAACACACGCGTACAACTCTACATGCAATCCTAGCGACTCACAGACAGCTGAAGCTTGTAGTCTCCAGGTTAAGAATCACTGTCCCTGTGTGTCTAGCAGACAAGTATTGTCTGCAGGCCACAGAGAATTACGAAAAAAATTCTATCACCTTTACATTATTAAGGAAAAGGAAGGGGAAGGTATAAAATAAATTTTAAGAAGAAATTTTAATGCATTTTCAAAAGGTTTATGAAGGTCTCAGTGAGCAGGCACAATTAATTAAATCGTTGGCCATCGGTGGTTATATCTACAGACCCTCTCCCCCCGCCCCAGAGGTGGGGCTGCAAGTTCCAACCCTAATTACGCCCAGTTCTGTTTCAAGACCAACACTCATCCTGAACTTACCTAGGGCTCCCTAACGACCAAGTACCACAGAGTACAAAAAGGCACACCAATCACACCAGAGATTCTAAAGGTAATTTTGAAATTTTCATGTCAAGAACCCAGGGAGAAGACCAAATATATACATATATATATTTCTTATTGTATCACAGTATCAGTATCACTATAAATGTATGGGCTTAACATCAGCTAAGTTCTTAGGACTTGCCATAGAAGGAGGAAAATCTTTCCATGTTCTTGGTTTATTTCTCTCATTCCCTAATCTGTAAATACTCTCCTTCAACCCCCTACTCCTCCTCTGCCCACCTCCTTTCAGAAGATGGTCTTCTACCTTAAGAAGAGAAACATTCAAACTGTTAGATATGCACCCTCTCAACTTCCCACCTACACATTTCTAAATGTGTGCACCCACCTTCAGCTTCCTTCTTCCAGCTTCAGAGGACGCTGCACTCCTTTTGTACAAAGCTACCCCCAACTTTGTTTTTGGTCACGTTTTATTCCCATCTCCTTCTAGATTCAAACTTTGTCCATTTCCTCATGAATCTCTATTTTCTTTCATGGTTTTAAAAAGTAACTTTTACTTATACATTTACACAATACATAGACTCACCTTATAAAAATTCAGCTGTAAAGGCGCCCATTTTCCCTGACCAGTGCCCAGCCTTCTCCCCACCCCTGCACTCCCAGTTCCCTCCCCGGAAGTTTCTGATTAAGTGTGTAACTCTCCAAGTTTTTCCCCCTCTAATACACATACATATATGGATTAGTCAGTTTTTTAAAATAATGTAAAAAATTTTTGAATTACAGTTGATATACAGTATTTTAATTAGTTTTAGGTGTACAACTTCATGATTAGACATTTATGTAACTTACAAAGTGATCATCCTGGTAAGTCTAGTACCCAGGTCAGATTTTAAAAATGCAAATAATGCCATACTATATGCACGACTCCGCAACTTCTTCTTTTCATTTGATAATTGGTCTTGGAGATCCTTCACATTAGTATCCAGAAATTTACTGCATTCTTTTTAACTATCATATAGTATTGCATAGCCTGTCCATACTACAGTTAATTAGCAATTTTTCCACCTATTGAGCATTTAGGTTGTTGTTTCCAATTATTCACTGCTAATACACAACATCATCCGAGAACTTGTCAGAAATGCAAATTCTCAGGCTCAACCTGCATCTACTGAATTTCCAGAAAAGTAGCCCAGAAATCTGTGCCACAAGTTTTCCAGGTAATTCTGATGTTCAATAAAACTAAAAAACCACTACTTTAGCAGATACAAAAAAGTGTAAATGGCTGGGCAGAGAAATATGCATTTTAAATGTTTCAATAGTCACTGCCTAACCAAATGTATTTTTAAGCTCTCCCTTTCTATGGTGCTCACACCATAACCTATGCACACGATAATATTAACCTTGTTCGCTCTCCCCACCCCTTGTGCTGCCATAGTCAAATATCTCAAAAGAATACAATGCTCTCATTAACTCTATTTCCTTACCTTCCACTTCTTTTCTCTCTCACCTCCAATTATGGATCTATCGCTCCCCACTCTTCTTCACTTACTCCACCCCTTCCACAAACTCTGGTTTATCCGAGCTCCCTAACAATAGCGTTCCTGGTCTTTTCTTCATTCTTCTACTATTATTATTTGAGCTCTGGTTCACTTATCTTGTTGAACTAAAAGAAGTGTCCTAAGTGGTCTTCCTAAAATTCACCAGTAATATTAAGATTAAAAAAAAAAAGATTATGTTTAATACTTGCTTAAACCGCTTAAAGACTCCTTTGAAGCCTCTATTCTCTCCAGTATCTGACGCTTGCCCACCTCCCCAGCGTTTGCTTATCACATCCTACCCCTCCGTACTTTAAGGACCAGTAAGGCCAAACTTCTAACCATTTTCTGAACAATGCAGGCTCATGCCCACATCTCAGCTGGACTCCTGTGCCTGCCTGTGTATAACATCCTGCGTCATTTCACCTGTCCTTCTAACATCTACTCATCTTTTGAGACCCCACCCCCGGGGTAAAACTTTCCCTGACCAGCTCTACTCTTCCTTCAAATAGAAACGAATACTAACTCCAGCCTTTATGACCCCACTGTCTGCTAGACTTCTTTCACAGCACCTAAAAAAAATATTTGGCAGAACCAATATTTGTCTTATTCAACACTGTACTCTCAGTAGCCAGTACAATGCCTGAGAGTAGCTGAGGCCCGACAAAAGCATTTTTAACAGATGAGTGAATCTGCTAAAGAACTTAATATTTACAATAATAAAAGAGCAATAGAAATAATAGTTTATAATTTTATCTCTGTGCCAGGTACTTTTCTAAGTGCTCAGAAAAACATACAAAAAACAAGGAAGTGACTAAAACAAATTACACACATGGAAAAATTTACTATAATGTGTTGACGAGTACTTTAAAGTATAATTCAAACTACATGAGTAACAGCAGCAGGCCCAGAATTTTGCTTTTAACAATGGTATCACAAAACACGCTGGAAAATACTAGTATTGTCCACCATAATGTTGACTGGTCTTTTTCTCTATGAGAGATTGAGTTTCTGGAATTTGATGTGATAGTGTATAATCTGAAGTGCTTTTTCAGAGCTGATTTGAAAAACTGTGGCACATTCTGTAGCTCACAGCTTGAGTACTACTGGACCTCCCTACAATGCTTCTGGGATATATACCTTTTGGTTAAAGACAGCTCACTGATGAGTTTAGTAGAGTCTGTAAAACAGTTCCAAGTAGATTTATTTCTGTCTAGTCAGCAAAGACAGAACTGTGACCAGTGCTGCATGCCCTTGGCGATAAACAACTTACCAGCCATGAACTCTGTTCCTGCAAGTTCTGCAGTAGCAAGGAAGTCATCAAGGGAGCTCTGCTCAGTCACTGACTGAAGATTAAGGCGACCCCAATCATAGCCATCGTTGAGTTCGCTTGTGTGCAACTATGAACAAAGTAGGGTAAAAATATAGCTTCTCTCTCTGCTTTTGACATCCACACTCTCACCCCCCAAGGAACTAGTTTGCTGCCTTGAGCATGACGTCAGCATCTTTAGAATCAGTGTTAGTAATAACTAACATTTACACAAGCACTTTCTTACCTCATTATTTCATTTAATTTTCAAAATCTTTTGAAGTAAATTTTAATGTCTTTCTATTTTACTTGATGAGGAAACAGGCTTACATAGATAAAAATAAATTGCCTATAGTTGCAGCTAATAAGTAATAGAGGTAGAATTTGAACATAGACTCTCTGGTCCTGGCAGCCAGTTAGTCAAAATTTTTTGATGAGATCCACAGTAAGTTTTATACAGTGACCCAAATGCTGTGATGCACATAATGATACAATTGTGTACCATTTAGTAGAGTAAAATAAAAACAAAAGAATCCAAAAACAAAGTTCTCTTACTACATGTTATACACTGACATTTTGAATTCTTTTTTGTTGGGTTAAGAAACTGCTAGTTGTCATCTACTTAACTGACTTCCAGACACAGCTCGGAGTTGAAAAACACCACTCTAGCTACATGCTCAGTACAGGTACAAATAAAAGAAAAACCTGAGGGTTAAAGGGTTTGCCCAAAGCCACAGAATCAGCAAAAGTCAGAGTAAGGATTAGAATCCAGTCGTTTAGAATTCATATTCAATCTTCCTCCCACTTCCTAAAGGCTACATTAATAACAAGCTACTTCAAAGTCAATTGAAATGATCAGTAATCTAACGTCCAGCATAACTTTGACCTGGTGAACATCGGTGAGCCCTGAATGAGGCTTACTCTGCATATTATATGGATGGAAATCAGACGGTGTGATAGAGGCACATGAACAGTTAGCACCAGGGACATCTTTAACTTCAGCAGATTCTTGTCTTAAATTTCTGGGGTTAAGAATAGTCAAAAATAGCAAGCACAAGTCAAACTACTTCGTCCATTTTTCGAGGTCCTAAAACTATGATCGTTCCTAGGCCCGGGGAAATAATAGGCCAACCACATTCTGAAGATGAATTGTTCATCTTAAAGGGCCACTACTAGGAAATAATAAGGGTGAAGCAGGAATTAGAGATACGCTGTATTTCTAGTAGCAGCCAGCCACTCTTGGAATCATTTCTTTGAACAAATTAATACAAAAATAAGTAGAATGTGTATATTTCCTGTTCATAACTTCAAACGTTCCCATGGCTTCTAAGGCAAAGACCAAACTATTATCCTGACATGAAGACCCTTCAGCTCTCCCTCCAGCTTCATCACACTAGTCCTACTTTTAAGCCTCCACCTTTGTGCCCTTTGTCCCTCCTGTAAGAAGGACCTGTTTATCGGCCTGGGACAGACTCATCCTTCAAAACCCTAAGAAGATTCACAGCATTCACTCTTAACTGGACAGAAAGCCTGAGAAAGATGATAAGATCTGTCTCACCCAGGAGTCGGTGTGACGGTGGCTACGGCTCCGCTGAGTCTGATGGCGGATAAGTGCCCGGCCAAGGGATCCAGTACCTGGTGCTTTCCTCCGGCCCATTGCAACGCGACCGCCAAACTTTCTCCGCCGAATGGGCACGTTTTCGGGCACTCAAGCGTCGGATCCCAGGAAGTGACGTCATCAGCTAGTCCAAGTAGTGAAGGACCGCGTTGAACAAAAACAGAAATAACTCGCCCAAAAGTGCTCCTTATATCTCAAATTTGCCATTGTAATCGAGAAAAAAATCTAAGGTTTTATGAAAACTTAACTTTCTATAGCTATCTCCAGTAATAGCTCGAATTTTGAAAGAGGTGTTGAATCAAAGAATGGTACCTTCCAGATTTGTGCGTCGGTCGTCAGAGTCCGGCGAAGACCTACGAAAGCTAAAAAACATGGCCCGTTGTGTTCGTGGTACAAACCCCGCCTCCCGGCTGTTTTCGTCCGGAGAAGGCGGAGACTTGAGGGAAGGGTATTTCTGAGGGCCGCACGAGGTTACGTTTCCTTTTGGCTCTTGTTTTCGGCGGGTGTGCGAAGGTTTGGCCTGGCCGCTCAGAGTGCCAGCAGTTAAATAGCTTTTCGTTTTCTTAAGTCTTCTCGAATTGCGAATCGGGGAGACAAAAATCCCTGCCTGGTTGGGAGTTCGGAATGTAAGGATGAATGAGCTTCCAGAGCTTGGCAAAATGGCAGGGAAAGCCAACAGGATCTGACTGACTTAAAAGCTTTATTTCAAAATAGTAGTTATAGGAGGATAAGTTCCTGGCTGGGGTGGCCAAGTGTACTGAGCACTGGTCGGCAAACCAAAAGGTTGCTGGTACAATTCCTGGTCAAGGTGTGTGCCTAGCTTAAAGGCCAAGTTCCTGGTTGGGGGTGTGGAAGAGACTACTGATCAAATTGTAGTTATAGGAGAATCTTTTTAAACTCCACGAGAGTTTGGCGCCCTAGTCCCCCCATGTTAAAGGGTCAACCAACTATATTAAAAAAAAAGTTTAAAAGTTCCAGTTATAATTGCATTAAAACTTTCCTATAATTAAAATGAAAACAGTGAGGCAGCTCTGCCCTGTGGCCTGGGCTTTTGTTCCGCGTGTTACCCTTAGTGCCCAATAATGGGAATGTAAAAGTTGAGTTAGAGTGTTGGAGGCCCTGGGCATTTTATCTACGTTTCATTAATCCGAAGACCACCTCAGTGATAGGATGCTTGGAGAGGATGCAGCTTGCTCAAGTCAGATGGGATATGTATGATATTGGGAATCAAACCCAAGTCTCATTAACTATGCTGCATGTTCCTGGGGAAAGGAGAGAAAGAGGGTTGTTAACATGTATTTCAGAATCCAGCGCTTTTCAAACTTTAATGTGTATATGAATCCTGGAAATCTCTGTAACATGCAGATGTTGATTTATAAGGTCTGGAATGGGGCCAGGGACTCTGTACTTCTAACAAACTCCCAGGTAATGCTAATGTTGCCAGTCTGGTCCATGGACCACACTTTGAGTAGCAAGATAAGTCCACTCTCTTGTGATGCTGGTGAAGACACTGAAGTAGACTGGCGAGTCAGTCACAGCAAGATAGGGAACGCGGAACTGGGACCACATCATCCACCCATCTCTGGATTTCCTGCCAATCCTGTGTACTACATAGGCTGTGGGAAGTCAGTGCATACAGATCAGTGATGGAATGCATCAGAACGTGGTTCCTCCCGTTTCTCAACCCAGAAACAGTATATCTTTAAAAAAAATTGAACATAATCTCCAGAAGTAAAATATGAAAAGACCCATGGAAGAGAATAAGCAGACAGTTCCTGGAATTCTCTTGGAGCATAGCAGTTAAAGATAAAACAAACTCATTAAGTTTAAATGACTTTTACATTCTAAGAATAATAAGAAAAAGATATGAGACCTGCCATCTTATTCCTAGAGGAAAAAAGTGAGAATGAGGGAGGAGTGACGGTGGTGGTGGTAAAAGGCGGAGCAAGGCGCTGGCTGCTGCCCAAGTGAGGGGAGTGTAAAGATGAATCAGCCCAGGTCCTTACCCTCCAGCTGTAGAAGTCATTCCACCCACACATTTCAGGAAACAACACAACCCAGCCAAACTTCCCTCATCACTTTGTCAGGACAGTAGAAACACTCATCCACCAGGCTTATGTCTGAAGACTGGTCAGATCTTCCTGATTCCCCACATAGCTGACCCCTTGCGATGAAGCCACAATTCTGTAAACAGCTGACCCCTGAAGGAGCTTGCATTGATTTCAGGGCTGGAAGCCGCCTATCCAGCTTCCAAAAAGCAACACAGAGAATGCTCCTCATTTGTGATGTTACATAATACTTGATTTACTGTGGCTAAACAAATGTAGTTACAACCCTGAAACCCACACCCAGGAACAAACCTTGAAGTTACTTTCCACCCCAACTCCACATTGTTGTGCCTCTGGGCTCTACATCAGTCTGGGGAGGAAAGAGGTGAAAATGGGTGGGGTTTTTGTTTTTTCTTTTCACCCGTTGGCCAAAAATGTGTCAGCTGCAGAAAAATCGTTCCAAAGCAAGATTGCAGCTCTGCTCCTCCCCTCTCCCACTCTATACCACCACGTTCCACAGGGACATTAAAGCAGTCTGCATAAGCCTGAAAATTGTGAAAATAAAAGTCTGTCAGTCTCTGCAGAGCCACTGAATCAGTAAGAAAATTCCCTTTGACTATCTGTCATTCTCCATTTATCCCTATTGAAAATGGTTATTATGAATCATTGAATCACTTCAATCAAACATTGATTGCATGCTTGTGCAAGTCATTGTGTGTGCAATGAAAAGTGTAAAAGACCTCTTGCTTTGGTGATACAGGCTACAAGATCCTATGCACACTGTGTTTGAACCTGTGAATTCCTTCCCTACCACTCCAATTCTTGTAGTTATATGCGGAATATCTAGGGTCTTTTGTTCAGAGGTGATTTTGAGATTACTTTTTCCCCTTACAACAGTCAAATGGGAAAGGGCACTGTTATTGTTCTGAACTTTTAGTTGCACAGTTTTTAAATCCTCACCCCTAGGACATACTTATTGATTTTAGAGAGAAGGGAAGGGAAGGAGAAAGAGGGAGAGAAACATTGATCAGTTGCCTCTCACACAAGCCCAGGGACCAAACCCACTACCCAGGCATGTGCCCTGAGGGGAAATCAAACTGCAACCTTTCAGTTTACAGGACGGATGCCCAGCCAACTGAGCCACACTGGCCAGGGCTAGTTGTAAATTTTGAGACCCAATAAAGCTAAGCAAAGCAAAACGACATAAAGGAGGCTAGAAGTAAAATTAATAATCACCAACTTTAAAATCTGAAGATAGCACCAGGTTTCTTCAATTCATTTGTTCCTTCACTGATTTATTACTAGACTCTTGGGAGTTAGCATTGGGCAAACTCCCTCCCTCCCCCTGTTTTCCCCCAAGAGCTTACATTTTAGTCGTCATCTGTCTGACAGAGGGACTCATCCAAGGTTAAACAGCTCAGGTCAGTGGTGGAGCTATGAATTATACCACCAGTTAGACCTTACTCTGCCATAAAGGCCTTCTGACCACTGGGATTTTATTTTTTGTCCCTAAATGTGACCCCCCCACTCCCCGCTTAAATCACTGTAACAAATTTATTAAGTGTTACTATATCAACTTGGATAGTTAAAGAACAAGGAAAAGGCGAAGACTCCTAGGGTATGTGGGAGCCAGTTGCTATTTATGTGAAGACAAATAGAGAAGGGAGAGAAAATTGTTCTGAGTAGAAATAAGGCAAGCAGGACTAGAACAAATGGGGAGAAACTACAGAGTCACAATTTTAGGTTCACTTTGTTTGAAACTTCTTGCAGATAGAATGGTTCAAAGATGGAAGAGGCAGCTTTTTAAGGTAGTGAGATCCCTGCCACTGGAGGTGTTCAAGCAAAGGCTGAATAATCAAGTGTCAGTGTGTTCTAAAGTAAGTTCATACTTCAAAGTGGGTGTTGGAATAGAGGACCGCTAAGGTGCTTAACAGACTCCTTACCTTAAATATAAGATAACAGTTACAATGATGGTTTCAGAAAGGGTGCCTGGGCTGGCTTGCTGTACTTTCACCATGAACGGTAACTTGGGGAGAAAATTACATCCTCCCCTTTTTGTCATGTGAGGGCTGAGGACACTGTGAATGACCATCTAGCACATTCAATCATCATTAGTCACAAATACTATTATTACAAATGGAATTGTTACCATTCAAGGATTCTGTATTAGAGCCAACCACGCGGGGATAGTGGTTTCTCCTCCTTCCACCTTCAGGGAGGACAGCCCACTCTGCTCCTTCTTTCCTGGTCATTGCCTCTAGTGGCACTGATGAGAAAGCTCACTGGCAAGGCTCTCATGCCTTCCTTCTCGCCTTCCTTCTCATGCCTTTGCATTTCTGCCTTGGTCTTATTCAGGTGGCAAACATTCCTAGTAAAAGGCCATGAACGGTGGGGCTTCATGGCAAACGAGGGTCATGGTGAGAACATTTCTGGAGGCTTGGGCCACATGGTGACCTCTGGAACTTGTAAACATCTGATTTGTCTATTGCTCTTCTCTCACTCCAGCAATTTCTTGTCATGGCTCCTGTGTTGAGCTGAACAGTGTCATACTGGATTCGAGTGGGCCCTAATGCACTAATAGGTGTCCTTATAAGAAGATTCAAATTTGGACACACACAGAGAAGACATGGAAAGAACACCATGTGAAGATGGAGGCAGAGATTAGAGCGATTTGTCTCCAAGCCAAGGATTGCAGTCAACTGCCAGAAGCTAGGGAGCGCATGGAGGCATGCTTCTTTCTTCCAGCCTCCAGAGTTGTGAGAGAAAAATTTCCAGTTGTTTTAAGCCACCCTGATTGTGGTAATTTGTTATGGCAGCCCTAGGAAACCAAAACAGCCTCATACAATCTTAGAACTGGAAGGGGATTACTCAGCTCACAAACAGGGAGGCGAGGGCCCAGAGAAGCACAGCAGCGTGCCCTGGGACCCTCGTGAGTCAGGGCTGGGACGTGGGTGTCTGGACCCTGGCTCTGATCATGTCACATCTCTGCTCAAGTGCTTCCAGTGACTCACCACAGCTC